CTCTCCGCAAGTCCTGCGGAAAAAATGGAATGGCGGAGGGAAACACATCGCCTGAAAATCCCATTTTCTATGGATATATGATATATACATATATATATATATATACCCTCTGGTAAACTAACATAACTATGGAAAATCACCATTGTCAATGGGAAAATCCACTATAAATGGTCATTTTCAATAGCTATGTTAAATTACCAGAGGGTATATATATATATATGGAATGATTCTATGGTGATATATATATATGCCAGAAAATCTATTACATATATCCCATATTCATTGTGTGATGTATGTAGAATATGTAATATATATATATTATAAGATGTGTAAATTGTAATAACTCACAAACCTGAAGTAAGGTGATTTGGGGATGATTCCCTATACTAACAATCAGTCCAGTGAGGTCACAGTGGGGTCTTTGTAATTTACCCAGATATAATGTATATACATAATGCAACTGTATGGAAATCACATATTTAAAAATATTTGTTGGAAATCCATATCCACATGAATAAATGTATAATGCAGGTACACATACAGTGTATATTATATGTATGGTGTATAATGTATTTTACAAGTCATGATGTATGATGTATTGCTGGAACAGTGAATCATATGTATACATATGTATTTATAGATGTATATACATATATACATACAAATAAAGGCTTAGTTTCAAAATATATGTATAGGGCTATAGGGGTTATTGTTTTTTTAAGATGGTCAATTAAGTTTTGTGTCTTTTTTGCTACGTGTATAGATGCACATCGTTCCAACATCGTTTTCATATATATGACTGTAACTAATTGGGTGTTGATGTCATCATTTCTTTTATATTGCACAGTGCCAACCGACAGGGTTTGATTGTTTGACCAAATGTTGGCTTAAAAAAGAACAACATACAGTAGATTGCATGTATATTGGGATTGACTGATAAAACAAATTGATAACACCATGTCTGGGTTAAACAACTATGTTCAACTGTAATTGGCCACAGCAACACACATGGATGGATTGTGTGATGCCCATAAAAGGTTCGAATTACCGCGGAAATGGGTTTTGATCAAATTTGATTTGTCTTTGCTCCACGAATCACACTTTTCCTTGGACAATTGCAATAAGAAATTTGATTTCACCAATAAGAACACAAATTCCCTTCTCGGAATGTACAGTAGCAAGAGATAATCCTTCACTTCAACTGGACATGTGGATTCCAGTGGGAGATATTTTGAGATTTTGCAATACCATGTCAGATTGCAGGAGGGTACAGTTAAAAAAATAGATTCTAGCCAATAATAAACAATCAGTGGGAATTTCAGGACCCTAAAATGAAGGTACGTTAGTACCATATTTTTGGCCATATTTTCGAGGTATAATATTCCCTGAAACTTGCAGTAGCCCCAAAACATTGGCCTTATATGTATATATATATGCATATAATAAACAGCATGGTAGATACCTCCAATAAATCGGTTCCTGAAATGGACAATAAAGGAATATGTCCTATCAAGGACTAACAGTGCGACGCAGTTGTAGCTACCTGCAATTTCTGCTAAGTGCGTGATAATTTCGTTCAATAACTCTGTGGCAAGAACAACAATATAGCCATCCTAGCGCTGTTCTACTTAGATGGGCCATGGGATGAACCATTCCTGGTTAGTAACTGGGGATTTGTTACCCCCTATATCCCAATGAAATAATCCATGGCTACTAACTAGTTCTCCCTAACAAACCATGGCCCATCCTAGCATAGAACAGCTGAAGACCTCGGAAAGCTTAAGCCCTTGGGGCCCCAAGGGGGCCCCAAGGGGGCCCCTCCAACTACGGTTATGTATCCACTTAGTTCACTGGAACTTCAGTATGATAATGTAGGATTAGTATCCCCTAGTACCAGAATAGCTTGCATTTATAGCCCGAAATACCAGTTATAAGTCAGTTAAATCAGGCCATTTATGGACTGATAACCCCATTTATAACAATTTATAACCATTTATAACTGGTAAAGGACCGTAACTGTGGGGATTACGAAACTGAAATGATTCTTCACTGACATCATCCCGTCCGCCCTGTCCTCCTATCCCTCGCGCAAGACTCGCTGGGATGCACTTGTGACGCGGCACTCAGAATCCTCAGCGAAGAAAGAAAAACACATTGCCAATCTTAGATACCCTGCAAAAAATGACAAATTCTTTTCTGGTTAGTAGATATTCCCAACCAGATATCCAAAGACTAAAGGATTAGTTTCTACCCATCTAAGATGGACCTAGAACATGGGTCGTAGTTCGTTGGTGCAGGATGGGGCCCCCAGTATTTAGCTCGCGTTCAGAAACGCCGAAGAAAAGTGGCTGAATTCTATGGTTTATGGTAGATACAACTATATCTAGTAGGGCTTATAAACCAACCTAGCTATCTAGGGGCCCCACATTGTAGTTCGTTGGTGGGGTTGAAAATGGTAAGACCCATTGATACCCCAATTTATGTCCATGTAAATGGTGGGAGAACATTGATGTCTATATGAATGGAGATTCATTCGGGAATACCCATCAATGCCCATTAATACCCTAACCTGTGAAAAACGCTGATTACATGTCTGGAAATTGGGATTAATGGAAAAATGGGTAAATGGTGAAAAAAAACACAATTAATGGTGACTATCCATTTCCCATTCATTTCCATACAATGTGGAGCCCTCTAGTTCAAAGTTGGTTTAAAAAACCTATTAGCTATAGTTGTAAGTATCATAAACCATAGTGAAATTGGAGTTATTTGCACCAACTTAGCTGTCGTTTTACGGGGGCCCCACACTGTAGGTTTTCACAAAATTGTGACAAAACCTCTGGATTTCCATCGGTTTTTCCCTTTGTCACGACTCTGCTTTCCTCAACTTGGTCAACATCAAAATGGTGCAATTCGTGGGGCTCCCAAACCATAGTTGTTTTCGGTGGTTTAGTTCATTGTAGGAACTGTTTGGCTGTTTGGTTATGTTTGGTTTATAGGGGGAATATTGGTGGATATGAGTTGGTTTATAAAATTCATGAATACTGTATCCCCAACAAAAACCCAACAGTTGTGATAGATAGTTATAGGGTCGTATAGCTACACTATGTATCTAAATATCAGGGGGAACCATGATGTCACTCTCCGTGACATGTGAATTTCCCAGATCCATGGCAACCCAGATTAGCCAATATTTTTCATACCGTGGTCAAAAATATAGTTCGACAGTATACTACAAAATATTACAAAGTAAAATCTTGAATATTATTGTTTGTTTTTCATTTTTGAATGGCGAAATAACCAAGTATATGTTAGTCTGCATATTTCAATATATTGTCAAATCAAATGCGAAGTATACCTGCAAAAAAAACAAAAACAGCAGTGTTAGTTTGGTTAGTCTATTTCACCCATTCATAGCAATGGGTTCAGTTGTACTACAAGGTGGTGCCCCCGGCTTGTTTTTGTTGATTTAAGGTACGGTATATCTACCATAAACTCAAACATTCGATGGAACATTGTTTGAATCAGCTTAGCCAATGTTCACTGGAGCACCACCTTGCAAAATATGCCATTACATATCCCTAAATACTATAAATGGCTAAAATCCACCAAATCCTACAATGCGAGACCCCTAAGATAGCTAAGTTGGCTCAAAACAATAATAACTAGGGTTTACAGGGGATGTATCTATAGTTACACGGGGTGATAGACCAACAAACATCACTGGGGGCCACTCGTTGTATATATTTGTTGGTAAACAAGCCATCCTTACCATTACCATTCCAACAGGTATGGCCCTTTACTGACTATAAATGGTTATAGCTGGTTATAAATGGGATTATACATTCTATAAAACTGACTATAAAAATATAGCTGATTATAAATGGGATTATACATTCTATAAAACTGACTATAAAAAAAATGCTAGCTGGTTATTTCTATGGGATTATACATTCTATAAACGGGTGTTAATAAGTTGGTAAAGCTATCACTGGTATAACAAAAGGGCCTCTCATAATGGGAGTCGATGGCCGGTGAGATACGAGATATGGATGGGCCGTTGGGAAATCCGGCACCACCATCCAAAAGGATGGTTGAAACCCAAAGAAAATAATGGGATGTTAAGCATCTATCAACTGGCGCAGGATTTCACAACCATCCACAGTATTTGTGCAGAACTAGGTTTCTAAGTTATGAAATGATGGGTGTATATATATATATATACAATGTGGGGCCCCCCCGAGTTATAAGTTCGTTTATAAACACCAGGAATAGTATAGTTATTTGCGTATATATCATAAACCATAGTGAGTTATTGGAGTGATTAGTGGCCCCCAACTTAGCTATCAACCGGGTGCGCCACGACTTGTATCAATAGGTCGCTTTATTGACCCTTCAGCCACACCAGCGACCTTCCACCACCACCGCTCAAGTCGCTGCCGCAAACATTCTTCTTGGCTCGCGCACTCCTGGGCTGAATCCAGTCAGCCTCCACAAGATTTGCACAGTTGGTAGGTCATGTCCCGGAATGGAAACCATAGGCTTTGCCACATGTTTGTGAAGTGAATGAATGTTTACCTTGGGGTGTATCCTAACATATTCCAATATATCACTGGTGGTTGAGCCACCCCTCTGAAAAATATGAGTTCGTCTGTTTATTTACCAGAAGGTATATTCCATCAATCACCATTACTAACCATTACTGACAATCATTAAACATAATATATATATATATATTAACCATTATTAACCATTATTTCACTATTAGCCATTAATCACCACCATTAATCACCATTAATCACTGTCACAAATTACCATGGTGGTATGACTAACCATTACTGACATCAATGGCCATTCCAGGAACCCAAATTGGAGGCACCTACCATATATAAGGCCTATGTAAGGGCTAAGTAAGGGGATATACACCCAAAATATTGCTTTATATGGTACAGTACCTCCATTTTAGGATCCCATTGATGACATTAAACATATAAGAAAATAAAAAGCTCTGCAAATCTATGGCTATCTCTAGGAAATAATCGACAGGAGTGGCATCACCGTAAGGCACTTCGGCATCTTCGGGGCCTGGATGTTGAAACATGGTGAACCATCTGGAGGTTTATAGCTGGAAACTCATCTGTAAATGGGGACAATGGCCCATGGAAATAGATTATTTATAAATTTATGATGGTTTAGCTATTAATGTTGATTTTCCAGTTCGCTATGTGAAATAACCAGAGGGTAACTCTGAAAAATTGTTCTTCTACAAGACTCATACACTGCAAGTGTCATTTGGGCGTGTCTGAATATGGGATACACCCATTTTTACCATTTCGGTAGTGGGAATAGAGATCAGTTCTGAGTTACTCTCTGGGTATTTAACGTAGCCATAGAAAATCACCATGCTATTAATAGGTAAACCATCTATAAATAGGCAATTTTCCATGGCTATGTTGAAAAAACAAATGGTAATCATCCAATTTTGGGAGACCCTCTGGCAATGAAACATGGCAATTTTCAGAATCGCACACCCAGTGCGGGGATTTTCCCTGTAAACTCTCCATCGCGCTTTGCGCCAAAGATCAGATTGTTGGTTGTATATTCCCATTCTATCCCCACCAAATCACTTTTTTGTCCTGTGGAAGGTCTTGAAACCATATCATATCATATACAAATAATTATACTGTGTATATACATATATATATAGATATTATTTAAATATATATATATATATATATGTAATTATATATAGATACATAGTTGATTATTTGTATATCGTATTACACCCCATTAAATCCCAAAAGAATAACCACAACGCAAATTTGCTTAAAACCAGGCTGAAACTTCCTCAACAGATCTGCCAAGCTTCACAGAGTAGCTTCGATTTGAGGTGCGAACAGCTTGAAGTATTGGACAGCATCTGTGTTAGGACCTCTGCCAGAAGGTGCTACCCGGCTACCCCACCCGTTTGTGAAATGGTTGTTGGCTAAAAACCTCCAGGAACTATCCAATAAGGGATAATGAAATCATGGCGAATGGATAGTTATGTTTGAAACCGCATGTCCATGGAATTTCAGGATCCTAAAATGGAGGTACGTAAACGTACCATATGTGTGGCCATATTTTGCTGGGATCTTCCCTTACATAGGCCTTATACTTAGATGGGCCATGGAGTTAGTTAACTAGTTAGTAGCCATGGATTATTTCATTGGGATTTTTTGAGGGTAAAGAATCCCCAGTTACTAACCAGGAATCGTTGATCCCATGGCCCATCTAAGTATAGGCCAAAAATATATGGTAGCTACCTCCGTCCTCAATCGCTTCCGTTCGAGTCATGGCCATATGAAAAAACTGTCCATGGATAGTTCCTACAATGTGGGCCCCCCCAGTGATGTAAGTTGGTTTAAGCAAAGTTACTGGGGTTTATAAACCAACTTACAACTGGGGGGGGGCACATTGTATGGTTTATGGACCTTATAACTATGGTTTATAAACCCCAGGAATAGTATAGTTATTTGCGTGCCATAAACCATAGTGACATTGGAATAATGTTCACCAACTTAGCTATCGACCGGGGGCACCACTTTGTATGTTTTCCACTACGTTCCATGCTGGCGTTTGATAACGATCTTAAATTGCCAGAATAGCATAGAGTGGCTATATCGACATAAACCCTAGTTTGTATCATTTGTTTCGTTACATACCCAACTCAGCTATTCCGAACCGGGGCACCAGAGTTGCAGTCACGGGCGAGATGGCAAAAACGAGGTGGTGCCCCAGGTCATTCGCCAAGTTTAGCTGTATTAACACACGAATCTATATCAACTAACTATAAAGCGCCTAGTTAAGCTAGTTAGAAACCAACCAACTTAGCTAACGAACTGGGGCACCCCTTCTGTGATTGAGGATGGGCCGCGGTGATCGCGAATTACCCCTTTTCGTTCAGATGTTTTGCCGAACCAAAATAACACAATATCGCTGAACAACATTTTTCATCCTCCTACTATGTTCATTCCATTTTAGCAGACAAAAAATGGATATATGGGAGAGTTTAATCCATGAACACGTGTGGGCCACCAATGGACATTGGGGTGATGTTTTCTGTTTACAGTAGCTTAACTCAAGTCACCATGCCCATCTGTCTGACCAATTTGATGAAGAATTCAGCTAAACACTCCACCTTTTCTTGGCTCAGCTGGCTCAGCTGGCTCAGCTGGCTCTTCTCATCTTTGACTTCCAACCACTCGACGAACATCGTCGCGAATGCAAAACCGATGATCTTAAGGGTCGAGTTTGGATATAAGTTGATCATTCGTCCAACAGGGCGGCGCTGTGCCTCAGGCATCCTCGGTTTCTTCCGTGTCTCGCTGGCAGCACAGGCCGTAGACAAAGCCGAGCAGACAATGTAATGGGGCAAACATCCACCCAGGGATGTCGGCATTTCGCAAACATTGGCGGCATTGGCGACACGACATAGTTTGGAAATGCAAAAATATAATATCTAATAGACTATATATAATTATGTGTATATATATATATATATAAATAAGTGCATGTGTGTGCATAGAGTTATCCCTTAAGTTTGGAGATTTTACATATTTACATGACGTAGTTTATGATTATGGTTATAATATGGATAATGGCGTAATTTTAGATATTTAGATATCAGTTCCCTTAAATGGAGTAATTTATGATTATGGATTTATGGATTGGAGTTGCATCTGCAATCACAAAAACTGCCTCCACAGTCTCAACAGGCGAAATCATTGGGAATGGGAATGGCTGAAACATTTGGAGGGATTATTATCTGGTTGGTGGTTTTAAGCATCTTGAAACATATTAGTCAATGGGAAGGATTATCCCATATCTTATGGAAAATAAAAAAATGTCCAAACCACCAACCAGTTATAAAACATTTGAATATCATCATACATTATCATTATATCCAATGGAGGGATTTGAATGAAACATTATTATTCATTATTCCCTCCATCTGAATGAAAGATTTCAACATGGTTCTAATCATTTGGATATAATATGCCCATTTTAGTTTGCCCCTCCGGGATGTTTAGATATTATATAATCCACATCGGGAGTACCCCCTTGCATTGTCCAAGTGATGGATGACCATGACTTAACATTGGAACCGAGAATGTGACGACAAGGGATCCCCCATGACTTAAGAAACCCCATCTAAGGGTAGATACAGTACCCTCTGGCAATTTAACATAGCTATGGAAAATGGCCATTTATAGTTGATTTACCAATTAAAAAAATGGTGGTTTCCCATAGTTATGTTAGCTTACCAGAGGGTATATACACATGAAATTTTTCACTAAAAAGTCAACAAGTTACTATCCACATAGTTCGACCCAATAGAAACCCAGATTTTTGATTATTGTTGAGATAAACCAATCCCATTCAAATCCCATGAAAAAAACATCATTTTGTGCTTACTTTAATCCAATAAAATCACCATTCAATCACCATGATTTAATCATGAAAAAATCTATGAAATCCCATTCAGCCACCATTCAACCAAAATGAAATCAATGGTTGTTGAGTTATGTCAATCCCATTAAATCACCATTCGATCACCATTAATGTCAACCCTGGATCAATAAACCCCTAGGCTGTTTACTTGGGAGGGTACCATGGAAGTATTAGATTATGACTATTGGAGGAGTACCCCCCTAATTAATAAACCATGGTTTATTAATCCGGGGTTGACATTACCCACCATATCTTTGCCAAACTAAAGCATCGCCAGTGTCACCAGGGCACTTCGACTTGACGCTGACACTTGGCAGTGCCATAGTCGGGTCCTGGGAGAAGAGCTGTGTTCCTTGGCCGCAGCCAAGGGGGTGGATCCCCCCTAACATGGCAGGAAAATATCGAAAATCCTGGGGAAACCACTTAGATGGGCCATGGAGTTAGTTGACAAAAATAGTTAGTAGCCATGGATTATTTCATTGGGATATACAGGGTAACAAATCTCCAGTTACTAACCAGGAATCGGCAACATCCCATGGCCCGTCTAAGCAGAGCAAAACAGTAGGACCGTAGGAAAACCATGGGAGGTGTTTAAGAGGAACATCATCGAACTATAGCTGGGTGATTTTCCACGTTTGATGACACCGCTAAGCCGTGAGAATCTACGACTGGCAATAGGTGAGGCCCCACGAAAAAGGGTGAATCTGAATCAACAAACACAACTGGAGGGGCCTAAACTTGTACATTTGCGATGCCTAAGCTGCCTAATCCAATCTTAACATATCTTAGTTACTGGATATTATACTATAATATTTGACAACCCAACTATAAGGGTATTAAAATTTAATTAAGGTATACCTTAGAGTCTTAAAGGCTCGCGGCTCGCAAAGCTGGCATGGGTCATCATGGGTCACAATCCCTTGCACTGAACGTCCCCTATGTGAGCTCCCAATATGAGATCCAGTACATTTCATGAGCGGTTCAAAGTATTTTTGGAAGGAATTAAGTTAGTTTTTTTGGGGGGAATATGCATATAATAAAAAAAACAAACTCATTCTAAACCGCTTGGCCCACTCAATGGTGCACAGGTCAGTAAGCTTTCAATTGTGAATACCCCTACATCTCCCTGCGGTGCAGTTCCACTTGGGAAGTGACATCCCAACTGCACCACGGAAAAAAAAAAAACCGGCCATCGAGCGACGTCACATTTTCGGGCTGGACCAAAAAGCAAAATCCCAAGTTGCCTCGGCAGGGCCCATAGGACTAAGGGGGTTGTCACCTGGGATGATACCCACGGGTCAGGAGTCAGAACTTTATGGTTGTTTAGGCTGGTAATCTGTTTAATCTGTATAGTGTTATATAATAGACAATATAATTACTATATCAAAGTAATTTTCATGTATTTTCTAGTAGAGAATCCACTATTGGGTCTTCATAGTTCTGAGTCATACCAAGTGTTCCTCGTTGTGGTTCAGCTTTACGAAAATGCTTCGGCATTTGCTGGCACAATTACCGACATTTGCTTCCCAACTGTAACCCCAATGACAAACATGCAGGTCACATCTTTAAACAGGATGTCCTCATTTTTTTTATCCAAAAAGCTGCTGCTGGTTGGCTTGCTGTATGTGCAAGCTCTTGAATCTTCTCAGCAACTTTGGTGTGAATTGTGTCATCTATAGTTCCTCTAGCTGCGCAACGCTACGCTGGACGTCACTGACCGTGTCACTAAGAGATTGCACCTTGGCTGCATTCTGCGCGTACATCTTGCCAAAGCCAACTGACTTTATGGTCTTGTCAACAGCGAAGTGCCGGGTGGATCTGTTGAGCACGAGCATTGCCGAGAAGAGAGCGCAGCTGGATGGCCAATCTAAGCAGCATTTTTCTTGGTTATCATTCCATTCAATCACGTAAATCACCACTTCTGTTGCTTAAAAAATCCGATTAAACCCCCATCAAATCACCATTGAATCACATTAAATCACTATGAAATCCCATTAAATCACCATGAAATCCCATTAAACCACCAGTAAATCTCAATCTCATCACCAACGACACCGGGACAGCCGCAAGCACAGCCGGCACAGGCGCGTGTGGAAAGGATTCAAAGAGTTTGCGAAAAATAAAATTTACATATTAAAAATGGACAAACCATGATTATATATCTGGCTATTATATATCTGGCTAAATGATGAAACTAATTACTGGTTGGTGGTTTTAAGCATCTTGAAAAATATTAGTCAATGGGAAGGATTATCCCACATATTATGGAAAAAAGTGTTCCAAACCACCAACCAGTTACATATTCAAAATGGACAAACGTGGATGCATGGACATGATGATTAAACATGACACTATTTTTCTAGAAAAAATGAATTTAACTTATAGATCATGACCACCCAAAAAATAGTTGTTCAATCAATGGGTACCATTTCGGAAATAGAAAAGAAGAAACACAACAACACAATGGGAAATTAAGAATTGTTAATGAATGATGGGTGAATAATGGATAATTGGAATACACTGACCCTCTGGTTATTGAACATAGCTATGGGAAAGGGCCTGTACACATCGATGATTTTTGATGATTTACCTCTTAAAAATTGCACATTTCCAGTTTTTGTAGATAATCATGGCTAAACCCTAGTGCTCCAAATACCATCTGAGAAGGTGTTTATAACCCAAAAAACAACTCCAAATACAGTCTCAGAAGGTGTTTGGAGCTGTAGGGGAAAAACAAAACAACCATTTTAAAAAAACTGCAAGTGACACAGGATAACCGATCACATCTGATTGCTCAGTACTCGGCTACTCGGTACTAAGACAGGTCCAGGCCACAATCTGCAGAGAACTTCTGTCGAAATGGGCGTTTGCTACCCTCTGGTAAACAAACATAGCTATTGAACATGGCCATTTATAGTGGATTTACCCATCAATAGCATGGTGATTATCAATAGTTATGTTAGTTTACCAGAGGGTATGCCTAAAATCTGATGGTTGCCCATCCTTTTACCAAGATTGCCACTGGGCATTTGGTATAGCCGGTGGCAAACCCATGTCTAGACATACCTAAAATATAAAGTAAGATTCGATTAAACTAATAAGTCAACAAATACAATTACAGAAAAGAACCCAACTTCAAATTTTATATATTTCTTCAAAACTGACAGAAACAAAGTCACGGCCACTCCTAGATTCAGATGTCTTGCATCTTTTGTTAGCTGTTTGGTAAGTATATTATATCCATTCCCCGCAGGTGTGATCAAACATGGTGTGCTGGACAATCCTTCAGCTATAGTTCGATGTCTCATGGTTTTCCTATGGTTTTCCTCTTGTTGTCCTATGGTTTTCACGGGGTTTTCTTATGGTTTTCTTATGGTTTCCCCAGCATTGTCCATCCATTGTTGACCCAGAAGACAGTTGAGCATCGTTGAGATATGTCCACCGGGTCGACTTAGATCTTCCCAACCTTCCTAGACTTTCCCAACTGGTAGATTATCATGACTATCCTATTGCCCTATGGTAATCATAGAAAAACACATAGAAAATCACCATTTTGAATAGGTAAATCAACTATATATGGGGTATTTTCAATAGCTATGAGCAATTACCAGAGGGTATCCTATTCCTATTCTTACTGGTGCTTAGTAGGGAATGGATGGGAATGGGGGGATGGGATGATTATTACTAGTGATTATGGATCATTCCCTCATTCCCTACTAAGCACCAGTAAGTAACTAGTAGGAAACAACAAACACCATAGAAACACCCATGGAATCCCCCAGTTGTAAGTTGGTTTAAAACCCGACGTAGCTATAGATATATACACTATAAATCGTAGATATTATAGTTAGATGTAATGTCACAAACCAACTTATATACCCTCTGGTAATTTGTTACATAACTATTGAACATGGCCATTTATAGTGGATTTACCCATCGATAGCATGGTGATTTTCCATAGTTTTTTTGATGTTTACCAGAGGTAAGCAAGCATAACTCTGTTAGTGAAATCCTGCGCAAAAATTGCGGCAACTTACCTATCGCCCGGGGACAACTCAGGGGATGATTCATAGAACTTGCCATAGAATGTGGGGCCCCGTTTACGATTGCTCAGTGCTCAGTTGGGGGCCACGTAACAACTCCAATAGTTTATTAATTATATCTTATGATACTTAATAATACGTTTTTTTCCCTTCTAAATTACTATATATAATTTTTATAGAACATCCCAGCTCGAGCTGGTGAACATAACTTCAAGTTCACTATGGTTTATGATACTTATAACTATACTCATTGGTGTTTATAAACCATTTTACCACTGGGGACCCCACATTGTACCTCTAGATAGCTAAGTTGGTGAACATAACTTCAATTTCACTATGGTTTATGATACGCACATAATATCAAATAATTATAATATCACTGGGGGAAGGCCAAAGAGGATGAAGCACACAACAACCAAGTAGTGGGGGCTCAGGGGTCGATATATTTCAACTATGATACGCACATAAATTCCTATAGTTTCTTATATAGGGTCCATCCTATGACGTTTGTCATTTGCCGAGCGACGACAATTTTCATGGACTCCGACCAGCTTCTGTGATCCGGTATCCAGCTGCATGGTCATCTCCTGGCATCCATGGGGAGGAAAGGTGAGTATAGTTATAAGTACCATAAACCAGAGTGAAATTGGAATTATAAAGCAACTTAGCTATCTGGTTATGACTAACATAGCCATGGAAAATCCCTTAGAAATTGAGGTTAATAGCTGGGAAAATCATCTATTTCGATTAGGGCCATCTATACCATGGCTATGTTAAATAACCAGAGGGTAGGAATTCCCAAAAAATCACCATGAATGTTCATCCCATATAAATCAGCATATAGAACTTGGTTTGATGTTAGGAAGTCAACGAGAATTGTTGCTGAAATACAAAATAGAATATTCCCCATGTGGATTCTGGTGAATATCAATCGAAGATTCCCCATGGAAAATTCCTGGTTCCCTCTCCTGTGGTGGGCTTCCAATCATCAACGTGGCCGTCATGGTACCGTCTCGACCCAACACCTGAAGGATCTCGAGGGTGGTATGGCACGGAGAGGGCTGAAAAAAGGTGATTTTTCAGTGAGATTTCAATTTCATGGGATTTAATAGGGATCTAAGGGAATTTAGTGAGATTGATCGGGGATTTAATTGGATTTAATGGAATTTAATTGGGATTTTAAGGGATTAGTGGGATGTAATTGATATAATGAGATTGAATGGTGATCTACAAAGGGGTTTATGGTGCAGGGTATTACAATTACAACTGGGACTGGGGCTGATTCTCAATGAGTAGATAGGCTTCAATGAAAAAACTACGTCTTCTACTACAATGCGTTAAACAAGAAAAATGACTCCATGGGGTATTGATTTAACTTCTTATTAATTGTGCGATTCTGTCATGGGATCCTCATTCAGTTCAACTAAACCGCCATGAAATCCCATTAAACCACTTTTACCCTCTGGTAAACTAACATAGCTATTGCACATGGCCATTTATAGTGAGTTTTCCCATTGAAAATTGTGATTTTCCATAGCTATGTTAGTTTACCAGAGGAGAGGATCTTTGAAGCCATTGCCATAGAAATAGTTGATTTACCCATCAAAAATGGAGATTTCCCATAGTTGTGTTTTTTTTCCATAGCTATGTTAGTTTGGAGGGTAAATCCCCCGTTTGAAACCGCCCCGCCGTTTTTTGGAAAACCGCCTGCGCCGGAAGGCCCTGCAGCTCAATGGGCGAGCTGACGGGAAGCTCAAGACCCAGAAGCTGCCCTGGCCCGACACAGTGGGACAATGGGATGGGGACTTATGGATTTAATGAAATTAATGGGGTTTAATGGGATTTAATAGGATTTAGTGGGATTTAATGGGATTTCACCATGAAAAGTGGTGATTCAATGGGGATCGGGGATAATTGCCAATAACAAGATTTCAATGGATTTTACAATGAATATAGTAGTAGTAATAGTATGTAATAGTACTAGCTATGGAAAATTGCTGATTTCTAATTGATTTACCTTGATTTTCCAGTACTAGTAAGAGTAATAGCAAAAGTAATAGTAGTAGTAATAGTAATAGTATGTTTAAACTTAGCTTTTTATCCAACTATAGAAATAGTATGAACTCAATGGCCATGACTCAGGAACCGATTGATTGGCTGGAGGTACCTACCATACATGTTTGGCCTATTTTTTAGGCCTAAATTTCAGGGAATATCCCCAGAAAATATGGTCTGAAATATGGTACAGTACTGGGGGGATATCCTTACTAATGGAAAATCACAATCTTTAATCGGAGTTTCAACTATAAAAGGACCATTTTCGATAGCTATGTTAAATTACCAGAGGGTAATTACTTGGGAAATTACGACAATGTGGGTAAAACAATGCCATAAACCACCCATGACTGGGAATGGTCTATACAACCTAACTATGGTGATGACTGGGGGATGGTAAACATGACATTGTTTTACCCACTTTATTTGGGTTTATGGTAGATATATGGCTATGAGTCAAGACGGACCCTGTCAAACGGTACCCTAGAATAGCTGGTTGACGGATGTTCATCCCTGTAAAAATATAATTTATAGGTATTGATCCATAGCCATGCCATCTATGGTTTATGGGTTGAACCGTTAAACCAACAAACTTTTGATGATTGAGAATTATGAGGGGTTTACTTGTTCAATAGCTTTTTATTGGCGTTCAAGCCTGCCGTTTGCCAGGCGTCAAACCCGAGCAATGACCAGCCGACACTATTGAAGTCCACCGGCAGCCATCAGAAAATCAAGGTTGGCAGCTGCTGAATTACTGCCTACTGATCCATCAAGCAGATCGGACTGGCCATCCTGGGCCATCCTGCCAAACTACTCAGACTCGTCGACCCAAGCCATAAGACAACTCATGTTCGCATAGGCATGGTAGCCGTTGGAAATTGCCAAGCCAGCGATGACCAGTTTGGAATCTGCCGTCACCAGCGGGTCATGGCAATGGCTGTCGTAGAGTACAATGGTCAAACCTTGGTTCGTTGACGGCCTACATCCCCACCACATGGCCGCGGCCATGCGACATGCAGTCCACATCATTCTTGGGCACCACATGCCATCCCTATGGCCCCTGCCATTTGTGCTGCTCACCACAAATACCCAAATCGAAGCATCACAGACAAACAATTTCTTGCTGCTAACCGTAACAAGACCATAGAACTCTGAAACCACATTGAAAACATCCCAAGAGGACCCCATTGGTTCAAGCAACCCCTTTCAAACTCCTTATGAAACAGCTCCCATGCTCCAGGATGCTTTTGTGCCATGGGGTTCGGGCGAACAATATTTGATTGTTCATAACTATCATAACTTGGTTTTATGGTAGATATACTGTAACTATAGCCCTTATGCTCCATGCATGGTAGATTCACCTACATTTAGGTGATTGTTAGGGCAACTGTTGGTAAATATTCCAGCACCATGGTTTGCAAATGGGTAGTTAAGGTGTTTTGTAAACCAACAAACATAACTCATAGGCTCATAGGTTTTAAACTTACAACTAGGATGGTACTTGCGGGTATAACCATGGTGATTCAGAATCCCATTCGTTGGGAGATGGTGCCCATACTGGCCTATCCCAAATGCTCCTTATGGTGCTGGAATATCTACCTACATTTACCCCAAAAATGCCAAGTTATGTAGGTGTGCATATTCCAGCACCATGGTGAGCTAATCTGGGTATGGTGAAGTATATCCACTCAGTGGAACTGCACTTAGGGGAACTCGTCCACCAAAAATGGCTATAGAATCCACCAAATTTCATAGGGACTGATATGGATTAATCATGACTCATTGATTTATGTGGCTCCCAAAATACACACACACACAATTCATCGGTTTATAATGTGTATTCTAAAGTGTGTCAACATACGCATATTGGGATTTAGCCATCAAACAATGTGATTTAATGGGATTTGACCAACTGAAATTTTGTTTTCATGGGATTCTTTAGGCACACCAGTAGAGTTGGTTCCGGTTTGAGATGATTTTGCCATCAAAAATTGTGATTCAATGGGATTTTAAGACACATAAATAGTACTAAGAAAATATGAACTGATGGGTTTTTGCCGTCAATAATTGTGATTTAGTTTGGGTGATTTAGGTGTTAAATTTCCTCAAAATTACCTGACGGCAATCAACTAGATAGTCATATATAGTCAAATATTCATGGAGATAAAGCTATATATCATAATACATTCATGGTTTTATGTTTTTACATGATGCTTTCCATGTTTTTATTAGGTGTTTCCTATGTTTTGCTTAGTGTTTCCTACAATTTGGGTCCCCCCAGTTATGTGAATGTTTGTTTATAAACACCATGAACTAGTTCGTTATTTGCGTATCATAAACCATAGTAAAATTAAAATTATGTTCACCAACTGAACGCTATCACAATCAGCCTATAAATCCCATGGAAATCCCCTATTTTCCCATGGTTTTCCTATGATTTTTCCTCCAAACCAGCTATAAATCCCATGGAAATCACCATTTTCCTAGGGTTTTCCTACGATTTTTCCTCCAAACCAGCTATAAATCCCATGGAATTCACCATTTTCCCATGGTTTTCCTATGATTTTTCCTCCAAATCAGCTATAAATCTCATGGAAATCACCATTTTCCCATGGTTTTCCTATGATTTTTCCTCCACATTGTATGTTTTCCCATGGTTTTTTGCGGCTTTTGTCTCGCCATCTCCCGGGGTGCCGGATCGCCTGGTGCCGACTGCGTGGCCAACTCGGCCCAGTTGGCAGTGCAGCCGTCGGCGCGGCCCAGCAGAATCCTGGGAGGGGTTCAACACAAGAGTGGATGAAACTCACAATAGTATCATCCAGTACTTAGATGGGCCATGGGATTAACGATTCCTGGTTAGTATTAAATAATAGTAGTATTGTATTAATAATTATCCATTGATAGTATCCATTATCATCCAGTAGTATCATCCAGATACAAAATTAGAATCCCAACATTGTCCCATTAAATATGATGGTTTTCCTGTAAAGATTCCCTTAAACCAATCCATTGATAATAACAATAAACTGATGATAGATTATCAGGTGCAAGGTGGTGCCCCCTAGTTATAAGTTGATTTATAATCCCATTAACTGCAGATATATCAACCATAAGTCCTACTTGTTAGAGTTATAAAACAACTTAGCTATCTTGGGGGCACCACATTGTATCCATGATCATCCAGTAGTATTGTATTAACAATAGTATCTGATGGAATTATCATAATTGGAATATGATTGGTATTATCATCATATAATCTATCATCGGTTTGTTGTTATTATCAATGGATTGGTTTAAGGGAATCTTTACAGGAAAACCATCATATTTAATGGGACAATGTTGGGATTCTTGTAGATTTTCCCTTAAAGCCTCAAACCAATCCATCAATTAACTATTGTATTCTGGTAAGTAACAATTAGTGCATGATGGATTATGACAATACTAATTGGATGGTAATGTGATAATGATTACCCTCTGGTTATGACTAACATAGCCATGGAAAGATCCACCATTTGTAATAGGTAAACCATCTATTTCTATGGGCCATCTATACCATGGCTATGTTAAATAACCAGAGGGTAGTATTTCATGAGAATACTATTGCTGGTTGGTGGTTTGGAACATTTTTTTATCTTTCCCATCATAATGGGAATTTCCTCATCCCAACTGACGAACTCATATTTTTCAGAGGGGTAGGTATACCACCAACCAGTAATTAGTTTCATCAACATTTTGTATTTTCCATAATTTTTTGATCAATTTCTAATAATATTAAATAAAATATTGGCATAATTAGAATTTATTGGTATCATACCATTTGATAATACGAATGGATAGTATTGATGATGGCCCATAGACATGAATCTGGCTAAATTATAATATGTCACTAACATGAATTGTTGGGCCATTTGGGGATGATTGAGAATTATGAGGGGATTACTTTTTCAATAATCATCATTTATAACTGATTGGTGGTTTTAACCATGGTATTTATGATGAAGCTAATCATTACCATTGTATTTGTATTGTTAATGAAACTAATCTGGTTGGTGGAAATTCCATCTTGAAAAATATTGGTGAATGGGAAGGATTATCCCATATATTATAGTACTAATTGTGATAATGATTAGTATTGTCATAACTAGAATTGATTAGTATCATACCATTTGATAATACTAATGTATAGTATTGATGATTAACATTACCATCCACTAATTAGTATTGATCTGGCTAATGGGAAGAAGAGTGATAATAGTGATATGAATAGAGATAATAATAGTTATATATGTAGTAGTGATATTCTAATATGAATAGTGATGAAACTAATCATTACCATTGTCTTAGTTGATAAACACAATCTAGTGTCGGATACAGGGTAAACCAATCTACCTATTGATATCATCTGATGAACATTACCATCCAATTAGTATCGTATTAACAATAGTATCTAATAGTTGATGAACAATAGTATTATCATGAAACTAATTAGAATTGATGATTGTCATTACCATCCAATTAGTATTGTCATAATCCATCATCATCATCATTCTTACTATGGAACATGATATCCCATAGACATGGATCTGGCTAAATTGTAATATTTCACTAACCTGAATTGGTGGGCAATTTGGGGACGATTTCCCTTATTAACCATGGTTCCAGTGAGGGAGAACAGGGATGTGGCTATAATTTATCTAGATTGATGATTATCACCATCAAATTAGTTGATGGATTAGTTTAAGGCTTTAAGGGAAAATTTGCAAGACACCCAAAATTGTCCCACTAAATATGGGGTGTTCCTGTAAATTTCCCCTTAAACCAATCCATTGATTATAACAATAGACTGATGATGGATTATATGATGATAATACTAAGTGATATAGATATTGATATAACTGTTTGATATAACTATCATCACCATGATATAAGTTGTCATTGATTCTATGTTGGTGGATTCTATGATCATAGCTTCATACAATAATCTATGTAGATGATAATAAATCATGGTTTCCACCTTCATAGATTCATACAATAAATTGATGATGGATTCTATGATGGATGCTAATGGACTTTGAGAATGATGATTAATGGGAAGAATAGTGATAATAGTGATATGAATAGCGATAATAATAGTGATATGATCGATAGTAATAATCTGGTTGGTGGTTTGAACCCCTCTGAAAAATATGAGTTCGTCAGTTGGGATGATGACATTCCCAATATGATGGGGAAAATAATCCATTCATGTTCCAAACCACCAACCAGTAATGATAATAAAAATGATGACATAACAGTGATGGAGATGGAGTTTCATGGATTCTAATCAGATGACAATATTAATGATCATACTGTGGAAAATTGCGATTATTATTGTGAGTCTAATGGGTATGACAATCGACAATAACACAGTTGTTCTAATAAAATGACAACACTAAAATGAGTTTAATAACAATAACAATAACAATGATTACAATACGAATATTGATGATCATCAGCTGGGAAGGTTTCAGGTCAATTTTTGAACTCATGAGATAATGGTTGTTTATTAGCTCAATAGCATTACCCTCTGGTAAACTAACATAACTATGGAAAATCACCATTTTTAATGGGAAAACTCACTACAAATGTTCATTTTCAATAGCTACGTTAAATTACCAGAGGGTAATTTTGAGGCTTTTACGAACTCATCACAATCAATCCAGATCCCAAGGATTCAATGGAACATAAGTACAGGAATACCATCTGGTAATTTAACGTAGCTATTGAAAATGACCATTAATAGTGGATTTTCCCATTAAAAATGGTGATTTTCAATAGCTATGTTAAATTACCAGAGGGTACCATCTGGTTATTTGACATAGCCATTGAGGTTAGTGCAATTGATGTTTCAGGTTAAAATTTTAGTCCACATATTGAGGTGTCAGGCTCATGCACCATATCCCAAAAGGGATTTCATTGTATTTCATGGGACATAAAATGAACATGATGATGGTGATGGTGATTTCATGGATTGTAAAAGCTGTTTAGTGGATGTAGCACCAAATTTCCTCTTGTTGTTTAAGATAGCTATGAAAAAGGATTTCATAATGATTTGCCTGCCTGTTAAAATTTATGAATTTCCAAGCTATGTTAAGTAGCCAAAGGGTATATAATAATGCCAACTTGAATATGCACATACGAATTTAATAACACTGCTAATTGGAATATGCACCAGTTTCGGCTAATTCTGAACCGTGGTAATACTCCATATCCCCATAATATGCACCAAATATTGTCCCAGTTCAGAACTTGATTTTCATCCATATAATCATGTATCAACCATAATGGTTAAAGTTAGGTGCTGAATATATCCCCGACAGTATCAACCGAATACTTGGCGATGATTCTTACATGACTTATTATTAGTTTACCGCATGATTAAATGGTTGGATGTACCAAATGCTCAATCCATGTCATGATATTCTGATCTTACAATGTGGGCCCCAAAGATAGCTAAGTTGGTTTATAAGTCCAATAACTATGGCTTATGATACTTATAATTATAACTATGGTTAATAGGGCTTATAAACCAATTTGTAACGTCTGGGGGCCCCACATTGTATGAACCCTTCATTATGACATTGAAACATCTTGAGACTTCATAAAGCCGTAAGCCCAAGAATTAACCCTCCATATATTCGATGGTGAATTCCAAGCATTTCTGGTAAACTTACTTGGGGCTCTAAATTGTGGCCTTGGCTCCGCACCACTATAGTAATTATTTCACTTGGATAGCAACATATTTTTGCTTGTAAAATTTCATAAGTTGGTTGGAATTCAACAAGGAAAATATGCAATTACGTAAATGATCTTGAGGTGCCTAGCAAAAAGATTGGAAAGAACATTGTCTTCCAAAATCAAAGTGTCTTGTAGGGTAAGATGTCCGGATCGTGTGCACCCACTGACCAAAATGTGTATCCATTGTGATTGTACAACATTGATTTGTGTGATTCCTGAACATCCACAAAGACAAATCATCTCAAAATGAAATGGTAACATCATCCTCAACAGGCCACACCATCCAATGTGGCGTGGTCACTGTTGATCTTGAAGATCTTCTCGGGTTACTCGTTACATGTTTCCTTAACACTGCGCAAAACATATGGATAGATACAATGTGGTGCCCCCGTTCGAGCTCGCGTTCAGTTGCCTAACATGATTGGCTGAATTCTATGGTTTATAGTAGATATAACAAACTATAAACCATAGTTTATTGCCATAGTTTATTGTAGCTTGAGACAATCCATATGTAAGTGGTGAATATAGTTATATCATGTTATATCTACTATAGTTAAACCATAGTTAAACCATAGTGAAACCATAGTTTAATGGGTTTTTTTAACCAATTTACAGTCCGGGATTGTCTCCTTTGAGGGGCGCACAACGGTCCGGCATCCCCATGGCATCCCGATGGCATCAACGGTCTCCCATGGCGTGACGCGGCTCAATTTGGGATTTTCCAAATCGCTGGTGTCCTGACGTGTTGGGCGTCGGTCTTTTTTTTGTTGAAAACGACATGGACCCACCATGGACCGCATGGAAAAGTCATCTGGACAAGGAGATGTATATATATATATATATATGCATACATACATATATAATATATATATATATATGTTTGTCTTCCTATGAATATGCAGTGTGGGTTTAACGGTTGCCCGCTTCGACTACTGTTTTGTAGCAAGTCACAAAAGACAAATGTGGACACAAAGGATGGACCCAACACAATAAATGCTGGTTGGTGGTATACCTACCCCTCTGAAAAATATGAGTTCGTCAGTTGGGATGATGACATTCCCAATATATGGAAAACTAACATAACTATGGAAAACGAAAAAATGACTATGGAAAATGTTCCAACCAGAAGGTCAAGGTGATTTTCACAAGAGTTGGGTGTAATCTGGTGGTACCTTACTGTAGGTGGCCTAATCTTCATGTTTGGTGTAGGGAATCTTCAAGCGATTTGAATGGATCAACAAATCCAGATCAGACAGGACATCACGTTGACCAAAATCTCGTTTGTTCCCAATTTTTGGTGAACATAACTCTAATTTCACGTTTGGACTTATGGTAGATATATCGAACTAGTTAATGGGATTATAAACCAACAAACATAACTTGGGGGGGCAGAAGTTCCCAAACTCTCTCATCAACATTGACCAAAGTCTCGTTTTAACATGTTTTAACAATTCAAGGTCTTTCCAGAAACGGGTTGCCCGGTTGCCCCCTCGCCACCCTACGTTTGAGGTAACACTACCAATATTCCACCCAAAAAGCGGCTCTCATTTCATATATTTCGTTGGAGCAACTAATAGATCTTTGCTGATTAAATCACATTAAATCACATTAAGCCACATGAAACCATCATTTCTTCCACTCATAAATCTAAGATCCCGGGCAGTCCCCGATTGAAAACTCGTTACGTTTTTGTTTGGTTTTGGAGCCAGGCATCGTAGAGCAGCGTCTTGCCCCAATTCAAGGCCGTGCCGAAGATGAAGGTATCAGCGTTCCCAGAGGTCCAAGAGATCTTGAGTTTCTTGGAACAGGGCGGTGTCTCGTAGAAGAAACTGGACTTGGAGATGTTGAGACCTGGAAGGAGCGAAGGACTCGAAGGACCAAATCCGTCAAAAGAGGTGATAGCATCAACTAGTCCAATTTAACAGGATTAAAACCCCAATAATGTGGTCATTTCCATAGCTGTGGTTCACCAGAAGATTAATCTTAGGATCCAATGCTAAACCCGTATGACTGGGATGATGTTTTTGATGATCCCCACAAAGTGGTGCTTGCGGTCGATAGCGTTCAGTTGGTGAACATAACTCCAATTTCACTATGGTTTATGATACTTATATATCTATAGTTAATGGACTTATAACTAAATCATAGGTGGTATAACTATACTATTCCTGGTGTTTATAAACCAACGTTCACATCACTGGGGTGCCCCACATTGCACGGTTAATGGGATGCTTTATACCATTGGGCTTTCCCACATTTCCATATCAGACCATGGAGGAATTGACGATTCCTATCACATTCCCTTGGGGCTCTGTGAAGTGGATTTCCCAGGTGATGGAGATAATCCCCCTATGTACATATTACATAATACACACACATATATATATATACAGGACGGTGTAAGCTTCTTAAATCAAAAATGATTTATATCAATTTATCAATTCTATTCCCATATGTTTGGCGCCCCCGCGAAGCCCTCGAAAAAAACATGCAAACAAAACATCGAACCAAACATCAAACTTTCTCCCCTCCTCCCACGGATCCACATGATCCACGGGTCATCCCGACAAAAAATGAGAAACATCGCCCATTACCCTCTGGTAAACCAACATAGCCATGGAAAATCACAATTTTTAATGGGTAAATCCACTATTTCTATGGCCATTTTCAATAGCTATGTTAGTTTACCAGAGGGTATCGACTCTCACGTTGCGGAAAAATCAAAAACTATACTGGTTGGTGGTTGAGCCACCCCTCTGAAAAATATGAAAGTCAGTTGGGATTACGACATTCCCAACTGAATGGAAAAATAAAAAATGTTCCAAACCACCAACCAGTATAACTTGTTTCAGGTGGTAAAATTTGGATAAGTTTGGTATAGTTCTACGTACAGTTATACCAAAGAAAACGCAAAATCAGAGCCCAAAAATATTGTCCAAACATTAATCGGGCAACTCAATTTTGAGACCCACCCTGATTGGATTGGGGATGTATGAACATATGTCATATAACAGTTTTGGTTTGTTGATATATAGTTGATTTCCACTTCTTTATTTTCCAGCAGCGAGTTCACCAGTTCCACCCAGTTTCACCCAGTTTCGCCCAGTTTCACCAACGCATCCAAGTTGCTGATATCTGGGCCCAGCTGGACAACAAAGTCTTCCTGGAAACTCCAGTCAAGTATGACACGAAGCCAATTTTTTTGAAAAACGGCTTTGGGATCAATGTCTGTGGCGGATTTGCCCAACAATTACGTCATTTTCATGCGGATAATTATAAAAAATGTTGGTGTTATACACCAGTTACCACAGGTTCGTTGGCTAAATCCATTTGAAAGATGTTTAAAATGAGTTATTATCATGTGCTGTCCCCATGATATCCTCTCAAATCCGCTTCTTGTCAGTTCAACCCCATCAACCACAATATGTCTTCGAACATTCCGTGAAATCCAATGAAATCATCATGTCCCCAAAACTGAAATCAGAATAAATCATAATAAATCACCGTTAAATCAGACATAAATGCTAATGAATCCCAAATATGGTTCATCATCAAATTACCGTCACTTTCCACTAAATTCCATGGAAATCACCACATTGAATCACGATTTTCCCAAAATCACCATCCAAGCACCAGTTCCCGAAATACAACTTATAAGTCACTGAAATCAGGCCATGTATTTTGAATAATCGTCCCACAGAAATCACCGTAAAAATCACCGGTTGTTAGGACCTTGAAGCACCATATAATTTCCATATTTTCCCATTGAACCATCCATTAAACCACCATATCTTAGCACCATATCTTACCTATTCTTAGTCCAATGATTTCCTCTTACCATCTGGTTATTTAACATAGCCATGGAAAATCCCTTATAAATGGAGGTTTTAATATGGGAAAATCATCTATTTCTATGGGCCATCTATACCACGGATATGTTAGTCATAACCAGAGGGTAAATCCCATTAATATCCCATTAAATCACTATAAAATCCCATTAAATCACTATAAATCACTATGTTAAATAACCATTAAATCACCATGAAACCACCATTTTGCACCAAGCGTCCACGTGGCTCAGGGCACAGCTGGCAGCGCCGGACGTCACCGTCAATTTGTCCAGGTGTTGAGCGAAGAGCTTGGGGAAGTAGGGGCCCCACATGGATGCACACCTCGATTCAGGCGAAAGGTTGCGAAAAAAGGAGGATTTAACGAGGGAAAAGGTTGATTTCATGGGATTTAGTATGGGCTAATGAGATTTTCGATGGGATTTAGTGGGATTTAATGGGATTTGATGGGGTTTAAACCAACGAACATAACTGGGAGCACCGCTTTGTAGCCATCCCTCATCGGAAATTCCCATGCGAAACTGGCGCGTCAATGGCAATCCCTAAGAATCCATGTTGGTAATATAAACACTCGGACCAATGTTGGCCTGAGAGCACTACATTGGTATGTTGGCTTGAGAGCACAACATTGTCGAATTGTCGGGGCTTTGTTTGTCGAATGTCATTGATTTCCTGGGGGTTGATGGCTTGACATGGTGTGCAGCCATTTGCCTTCAAAAATTGTTCAAGGTCTCTTAAAACGAGCACCATACAACCATACAGCTTGCATGTTCTTTTTGGTTCAGCTCTTTTGCCATGATATATAAACTATATTAAACTACGTTGGTTAGCGAAATCAAACTTAGTTGCCTTAGATTGGAAATGATTAAAAAATTGAAAGATCTGAAAGAAACTGAAAACCCAAAGTTTAAAAAAAACAGATGCAATTCCGCAATGTCCAGCCAGCTTTGGCCTGGCTTTGACCCTCGAACTCCAACCCTTGCTCTTAGAATATCTGAAAACGCGGTTTTCCTGCAACCTCTATATTCTGTAACCACCATTCCTTGACAATTTGAAGTTTATCATTCGCAAATGATCAGCAGTTTGCTCAAAACCGCTGCTCAAAACACCAAGGCGTATCAGGAAAAACCTAAACATTCCTAGACATCACCCAAGTATGTCCGGTCCCATTCACATTGAGCCCCGGTGAGGTTAGAGGAGCTGTATTTCCAGAATGTTTTTCAGAACGCAAACTGGTTGGTCATGAAACTTTCGAAGCTGTTTGCAGGATCTAGTCCTCAAAAAAAATATATATTCCGCATGACCTAGCACGACCATATGTTTTCATTTGTGGAAATCCAACAATCAAAACAGCAAGTGGGCCTCAAAGACTACCGCTTGAAGCAGAGTAAGGTGCACTGTGTTTACATCGCCCGGACGCCTTTACTTTTTGCTCCTTTTCTTCCTTATCCCAGTTGTCCCTCTTTGCCTTCTGCCTTCCAAGCCGTGTTTCCTGGTACCCCGTATTTCCTTACACTATCCTGCAAAACGTGCAACAATTGGCAGGCCCCGCATCTAGAAAAGCGGGTCACGAGAAGCATGATATCATATACCACAATGCTTTGGTATACAAACATGCAAATATCGTTTCAGACTCATTGCTCATGATTGCTTGCAGGTTGCATTACTTTCAAAATATAACTTTACTTGATGTAAAATTATGTAAATATTAGTATCTGCAAAAACATACATTACAAAACGGGAAAAAGGCAAAACACCACGTGCATTGATTTACCCTGTGTGATTTGTTCAAAGACAAAATTGTGTTGTGGCTACTTTTTTCTGGGACCCCTACCACGCAGTTTTTTCAGTATATTTTTTGAACAAGAATGTTTCAAGAAAGGCAAGTCAGCTTGAAGAAAAAAACAACGTATTGGTTTCCAAACTTTTGACCCCAGTCAATGTCAACAACAAAATAAAAACCCTCAACATTTAGATGCATTTAGGAGTTTTTGAGTTGTTTGCGCGCGAAACAGTCGTACTGAGAGAACCCACACACACACTCACTGAGCTACACTTTACACATCTTTACACCGTACATATGCTGGATTCCTTTGATGAAACATGAATGCTGGGACAGGGTGGATGCCTCGCTAAAACCTGTTAAAGGACAAATTGTTGACGTCCAGGAGTCGCGCACACTTGTCAGATGTTTCTTTCAGCAGAATCATGTTTCATATATTGCGTGGTTGTGCTGAATTCAAAAGACGATTTGCTTGCTATAGCCTGGCCGCCTGGCCATGCCAGCCAGATATTCATGAGACCACAAACGGCTTGAAGGCAAAAACACATGACATACTCTCACAATCTCTCATATATGTATGATTGTTGTTCTAGTGGAGCTTTTGGTGGAGCCATGAAGTCACAACACGGAGAGAATGCAAACAGGAATTATACGTTGGCGCACAGAAACTATATGCTGGTGATTGCTTCCTATCACTGTAAGCCCGAGAAGCATTTCCAACCAAGGCTTGCGGTTGGTGGCAAAGGTCATTCAGTGTTTTCTGTTGAATCGCGAATGCTGCACTCAAAATATGAATTGGGTTCGCACAAGCATAGGGCAAGGAGTCTGCAATTCTTTTCGAACAGGTGCCAGACAACCATAGTATCTTGCCCATTGCTGATTTCGGTAGGGCTTGTTATTATGCTTTCATGTCCTTGTAATGGTGGTATCCAAAAACCGGCTGAGCATGTTTCGCGAAACTTTTGTGCGGCGGCTGGGCTCATCAGGCGTGCCACTATTTGTTTCATTTTTTTCAGGAACAATGTGCCTAACGAGACCGTAACGAGACCGTAACGAGACCGTAACGAGACCGTAACGAGACCGTAACGAGATTTGTCGAATGTATTTTTAATAAGGGAACGTTATCGATTTATCGAATTTGCGTAACGAGACCGTAATGAGACCGTAACGAGACCAAAAAATGTTGAGGGTGAGCATTGTCCTGCAAGTGCGTCCAAAAAATCAATGTTGAGGGGAGTGCATGGACTACAGCTTTGACCCTCGAACTCCAACCCTTGCTCTTAGAATATCTGAAAACGCGGTTTTCCTGCAACCTCTATATTCTGTAACCACCATTCCTTGACAATTTGAAGTTTATCATTCGCAAATGATCAGCAGTTTGCTCAAAACCGCTGCTCAAAACACCAAGGCGTATCAGGGAAAACCTAAACATTCCTATAGACATCACCCAAGTATGTCCGGTCCCATTCACATTGAGCCCCGGTGAGGTTAGAGGAGCTGTATTTTCAGAATGTTTTTCAGAACACAAACTGGTTGGTCATGAAACGTTCGAAGCTGTTTGCAGGATCTAGTCCTGGAAAAAAAACATATTCCGCATGACCTAGCACGACCATATGTTTTCATTTGTGGAAATCCAACAATCAAAACAGCAAGTGGGCCTCAAAGACTACCGCTTGAAGCAGAATAAGGTTCACCCCGGACGCCTTTACTTTTTGCTCCTATTCTTCCTTATCCCAGTTGTCCCTCTTTGCCTTCTGCCTTCCAAGCCGTGTTTCCTGGTACCCCGTATTTCCTTACACTATCCTGCAAAAGGCCCCGCATCTATATAGAAAAGCGGGTCACGAGAAGCATGATATCATATACCACAATGCTTTGGTATACAAACGTGCAAATATCGTTTCAGACTCATTGCTCATGATTGCTTGCAGGTTGCATTACTTTCAAAATATAACTTTACTTGATGTAAAATTATGTAAATATTAGTATCTGCAAAAACATACATTACAAAACGGGAAAAAGGCAAAACACCACGTGCATTGATTTACCCTGTGTGATTTGTTGAAAGACAAAATTGTGTTGTGGCTACTTTTTTCTGGGACCCCTACCACGCAGTTTTTTCAGTATATTTTTTGAACAAGAATGTTTCAAGAAAGGCAAGTCAGCTTGAAGAAAAAAACAACGTATTGGTTTCCAAACTTTTGACCCCAGTCAATGTCAACAACAAAATAAAAACCCTCAACATTTAGATGCATTTAGGAGTTTTTGAGTTGTTTGCGCGCGAAACAGTCGTACTGAGAGAACCCACACACACTCACTGAGCTACACTTTACACATCTTTACACCGTACATATGCTGGATTCCTTTGATGAAACATGAAGGCTGGGACAGGGTGGATGCCTCGCTAAAACCTGTTAAAGGACAAATTGTTGACGTCCAGGAGTCGCGCACACTTGTCAGATGTTTCTTTCGGCAGAATCATGTTTCATTATATTGCGTGGTTGTGCTGAATTCAAAAGATGATTTGCTTGCTATAGCCTGGCCGCCTGGCCATGCCAGCCAGATATTCATGAGACCACAAACGGCTTGAAGGCAAAAACACGTGACATACTCTCACAATCTCTCATATATGTATGATTGTTGTTCTAGTTCATCGGTACTTCCTTTCGCGCTTTTGGTGGAGCCATGAAGTCACAACACGGAGAGGATGCACCATTTAGAACACAACAAGTAGATAGTAGCGATCAACTATTGTAGCTGTAAGCTGGTGAAGCATGTTGAAACCAAAGCTAGCAGTTGGAAAAATGATTGTTCACATTGACATGTTTTCCGTTGAACCACGCGCACCCCCACTCAGAACATGAATTGGATGAGCAAAGGAAGAAATCACGGACTTGCCACACCATTCCTTTTTTATCCTTTTTTAACATACGGCTACAATGCACAATGCCTTCACATAGTGACTAATACTACTTGCAAGCTGTCGTTGAGTTCCCCAGTAGAAGGAACTGGAAGCAAGGAAGTGAAGGTTAGCGATGGTGGTGGTTGCTTCCAGTCTCAAAAATTGAAGTCAATTCTCGTTTGGACTCTTCTTGAAGGCCAAATTCCAGCAGTCAGTGTGTTTCTCAACATTTTTTCAAGACCGTCGGTGTCTGACTAAATATTTATGTTTAAATGGACCAAACTCATTTCTGCGGGGGTTTAGTCAAGTATTAGTGGGAATATAGGGTGCTCTATGTGTGATTTTTATCGAATTATCGAAGTTATCGAATTGTCGAATTTATCAAATTATCGAATGTAGGCAAAATTTGGCTACATTGGTCTCGAACAGGCCAATGCTATCAAAAATCAACTACATTGTCGAATGTTAGCATTATTTGCATACACTGGATGCTTAGGGAATGAGAAAATCTGAAACGAAAGCAGCTGGGTTTACCAGGGGACTTCACTTATGAAACCTACCATGTGGGGACCCCCAGTTATAAGTTGGTTTATAAACCACAGTAAGTATAGTTATTTGAGTATCATAAACCATAGTGAAATTGGAGTTATTTGCACCAACTTAGCTATCACAAATCAGCTATAAATCCCATGCAAATCCACCATTTTCCTATGGTTTTCCTATGATTTTTCCGGACCGGGGGCACCACGACTTGTAAGTTTCATGGTGGTTTCATGGGAGCATCTCACCATAAGCCGAGAGGAATATGGTGATTTGGGATCCAACTGGAAATTTTATGGTGAAACCGGAAACCCATGCTAATTTGATGGTGTTTTAACATGTTTTAACCAACCATCATTGGGATTAAAATAGAGATTTATCAAAATGACTTGCATTTAATTTGATTTTGTGAGAATGACGTTGCTACGGGTGGTGCACCGACATACAGGTAGAAGTGAAAGTCATCCCTCACTGTCCCTTTTGGGTTTTCCCCATTGTCAACGCTGTTTCCAAGAAGTCATCCCTAAGTCATCCCTTGGATGGTTTCCCCCATGTGAACGCTAGATTTACTGAATGATTTTTTATCACCTACGATCTTGAAATTGTAGAAATCATTGCATGAAAAACAACACAAAAAGAGACGACTTTAGCAGTTCCCTGTAGTTTCATTTTAAACTACTGTATGTTTATAAAGTGCACTCCGAATCATGATTCACATCAACATATATCAACATCACATCTCAAAGCGACCTCGCGGCAACCGCAATCTCTGGATATATACGGACAATGACAATAAGAGGCAGTGGTTGATGCCTCCTTGCTCCTCTGTCCCTTCAGCAACATGCTGCATCTTTTCCGATACCACTTTCGGACGGTTCAAATGATTCAAGGTGGTGCCCCCGGTCGATAGCGTTCAGTTGGTGAACATAACTCTAATTTCACTAGGACTTATGGTAGATATATCTACGTATAGTTCATGGGATTATAAACCAACAAACATAACTTGCGGGGCACCACCTTGTTGGCTCTCCCCAGTCATAGAAAAATATGATCACAGATCACGATGTTCAGTCCCCGAGTAACAGCTCGACCATGAAAATATCTGAAAATCACCCATGTTGGAAAGTAGTCTTCCAACCCCTACTGGCCCAACAGCGCTTTGCTAACTTGGTGCAGTTTTGGGGGACGTCATCCGGGGAGTTACAGGAAGCAACAAAAAGTTATGGGGTACAAGACTAACAACATCTAACAACTTTATATGGATATCAATGGAGATAGAATTGGGATAGAATTGGGACATGTTACATGTTATGTGTCTTTATAAAGAAACCCTTGGATGCACTTGGGGCTATGGCTCACACGCTGGAGGCGCTGGAGGAGGCGGCAACGGTGCCGGCGTTGCCGGAGGCGGCAGTGGTGCTGCCTGGGATCTCCTCGTAGACTGGCTATGCCCAGGCGGTGGATGAGAAGGTGGTTTTGGTCCTGCCTTCGGATCCCCTTTTGGACGTGGCACTCCTTGGGTCACCACAGCAACTCCTGAACCTCTTGGTGGCTCCCTAAAAGCTGGAACTGCCCGAATGTCCGGGTTCCATCCGTGGCCTCTCAGGCGCTTGTTATGGGATCTGAGGGCCTCATGGGTCAATTCGCCCACAGCACTGACGGAATCCTCACCATTGGAGGTCCGACCTGTCTCATTTGAATCTACAATGTGGGGCCCCCAAATGTGATGTGAACATTGGTTCATAAACCTCATTAACTATAGTTACCAGTAGTACCGCACAAGGCGGTGGCGGAAGTTTCCAAAATAGGAAACCTATAGGAGAGCTTGGTTGTTGTGAATGAGGGATGGCAGAGCGAAGCCACTGATGGACCGAAAGGTGCTTGAGGTCTCCTCTCTTTCTCTCTCTCTCTCTCTCTCTCTCTCTCTTTCTCTGACTATCTACTTACCTACCAGCCTATCTTCTATGTATCTATCTATCTATCGATCTGTTTATTTCTCTCTTTCTCTCTTTCATCTAATTACCTATCTACCTATCTACCTATCTACCTATCTACTTATCTACCTATCTATCTATCTATCCATCTATCTATCTATCTATCCATCTATCTATCTATCTATCTCTCTCTCTCTCTCTCTTTCATCTGTCTATCTGTCTAGCTGTCTACCTGTCTGACTATCTATCTATCTATCTATCTCTCTCTCTATTTATCTATTTATCTATCTATCTATCTATCTATCTATGAATCTATGAATCTATGAATCTATGAATCTATCTATCTATCTATCTATCTATCTATCTCTCCATCTATCGATCTATTGCAGTTGCAGTTGTAGTTGTAGTTGTAGTTGTTGTTGTTGTTGTTGTAGTTGTCGCTCTAGTTTCTGTAGTTGTAGTTGTAGTTGTTGTTGTTGTTGCTGTTGCTGTTGTTGTTGTTGCTGTTGTTGTTGTAGCTGTTGTTGTTGTAGTTCTAGCTGTAGTTGTAGTTGTTGTGTAGTTGTTGTAGTTGTAGTTGTAGTTGTAGTTGTAGTTGTAGTTGTAGTAGTAGTAGTAGTTGTTGTTGTTGTTGTTGTTGTTGCTGTTGTCGTCGAAGTTAGGGTAGTTAAGTTAGTGAAGTTACTTAAGTTAGTCAAGTTAGTTAAGTTAATCAGTGTCTACTTTTTCGACATCAGCACGTCAAAAAAGGCTCAAAACCCTCACTTTTTTTACGCTTTTGACTTCCAAATGTGCTTCGCGCCACAACGGCGCGCACTTTTTCGAAACTTTTTCGACATCTGAACCTCCAAAAGTGGTCCGAGACCGTCAGTTTTTAACACTTTTGACTTGAAAATGGGCTTCGCGCCACAAAGGCGTGCACTTTTTCGACATCGCAACCTCCAAAAGTGGTCCGAACCCCTGGTGTTTTGTACATTTTGACTTGGAAATGTGCTTCGCGCCACAACGGCGTGCACTTTTTCAACATCTTAACTTCCAAAAGTGGTCCGAGCATGGTGTGTTTTGTACATCTTGACTTGGAAATGTGCTTCGCGCCACAACGGCGTGCACTTTTTCAACATCTTAACTTCCAAAAGTGGTCCGAGCATGGTGTGTTTTGTACATTTTGACTTGGAAATGTGCTTCGCGCCACAACGGCGTGCAACTTTTCATCTCTCATCTGGCCAGCTGGCTCCGCACCCGCCGCTTTAGCGAGCCTACTTTTCGACTCTCCGGAGCCACAAATCATTGGAAAAAACACAGTGTTTCGCGACTTTCCTACCTTTTCGCGCATCTGCATCTTCTTTCTTCTGACTCGTTCTCTTCTACTCTTCTCTCTTCTAATCTTTCTCTTCTCTCTGCCTCTGCCCTGCTCTGCTTTTCATCTGTCCATATTGTCGGAAGTTTGACTTCTAAACTTCCTTCGATAAGTACCATAAACCATAGTGAAATTGGAGTTATAAACCAACTTAACTATAATTATTTGATATTATTTGAGTACCATAAACCATAGTGAAATTGGAGTTATAAACCAACTGAACTATAGTTATTTGATATTATTTGAGTACCAAAAACCATAGTGAAATTGGAGTTATAAACCAACTTAACTATAATTATTTGATATTATTTGAGTATCATAAACCATAGTGAAATTGGAGTTATAAACCAACTTAACTATAATTATTTGATATTATTTGAGTACCATAAACCATAGTGAAATTGGAGTTATAAACCAACTTAACTATAATTAGTTGATCTTATTTGAGTATCATAAACCATGGTGAAATTGGAGTTATAAACCAACTTAACTATAATTATTTGATATTAAAATTTGAGTATCATAAACCATAGTGAAATTGGAGTTATAAACCAACTTAACTATAATTATTTGATATTATTTGAGTACCATAAACCATAGTGAAATTGGAGCTATAAACCAACTTAACTATAATTATTTGATATTATTGAGTATCATAAACCATAGTGAAATTGGAGTTATAAACCAACTGAACTATAATTATTTGATATTATTTGAGTATCATAAACCATAGTGAAATTGGAGTTATAAACCAACTTAACTATAATTATTTGATATTATTTGAGTACCATAAACCATAGTGAAATTGGAGTTATGTGGCCCCCAACTGAACGCGTTTTCGTCACCGGGGGCACCGTGCCCTTACGGTTCTTGGCGGTCGATGACCCAAAACAAATCCCGTTGAATTTTCCGGAAAAACAAAAAAACATGCCCTTAATCAACTATTATATAGGGTTTGAACTATAGGATCAATGAACTATGGATTATATGCGCCCTTTAATATTTAAAAAACATGGTTATCAATGATCTCTTCTATCCTCATATTTTGAATATTAAGCAACAGGCTTTTTGAATATTGCAAAACAAAAACGATTGATCCTTGTTACCATTAAGAACCATTCAATCACTATAAAACCACCATCAAATCACAATAAATCTCATTATTTCTGGCTGTGTTGATAACCCATTCAAAAAAACATTCAATCATCATTAAACATCAGGAAATCATCATTAAAATCATCATTAATTCATGAAATCACCATTAGATCACCATGAACTCATCAGGAAATCTCCATTAAACATACTAAACCACCCGTGTTTTCCCATGAAACCACCATATCTTCCAGCCGCGGCTGTCACCGAGCCGCATCTCATCCGCCAGGATCTTGCGCTTGAGCTCCATCAGGACCTCGTCCAGCAGCGCAGCGGGCAGTACCAGGCCGGGGGTCCCGGTGTCGCTGTAGCCCGCGCCCGACCTGGTCGCCGCGACGACAACAACGGGAGACCACGAGAACGGTGAAGAAAAGCATGGGGATCTTGGAAAAAACCGTGGATTTTCATGGGAAAAAAGCGAAGTTGAAACTCTACTTGGGGGTTATGGTGACTTTTTCTATGGTGACTTGGGGGTTATGGTAGATATGTAGGGCCCGCAAACGTTCCAAATTGGTTTATCAACCCTATTGACTATGACAAAAAGTATGATAAACCATAGTTACTGAAGTTATGTTCACCAACTTAGCTATCGTAAACGGGGGGCCCACTTTGAAAATGGGAAGAAAAAATCACGCAACCCAAAACTGGTTGCTGAAGCAGCAAGATCTGATCGCTTCAAATGCCAAAGTATGGGCCTGTGCTATGCACAAAACCCAGCAGGAAGACAATGCAGTTTCCGGACAGCCAAAACAAGTGCTGCTCCCCAGGCTCCCATGGATACTCATTGCCTCCTAATCTGGTTGGCTTTTGACCCCCCCCCCAAAAAAAAAATATATATATATAGCCTCTGGTAAACCAACAGTTTGCTATTGAAAATGGCCATTCGTAGTTGATAGTTATGTTAGTTTACCAGAAGTTATGTTTTTTTGCCACCACTTTGCTGCTTCTTTTGGTCAAACAGCATCTACCCACCAAAAAAAGAACTCACCGGATCCTGAAGATCTTTGAAGTGAACTCACTGTCGAAACTAGAGTAACTAGGAAACTATAGACTGGATGACTGGATGGTGGTTTTTTCAACCCCTCTGAAACATATTAGTCAGTTGGGATGATTATTCCCAATATATGGAAAAATAAAAAATGTTCCAAACCACCAACCAGTAGATAAATATGCTATAAATCCAACATTTATATCACCGTTCCTGAAGTGACCCCCATTCGCCAGCGCATCAACTTCCATTGTGATGCTCCCAAATTTCTCCGAGTTTGATCCTTGATAGTTTGATGTGAGGCTACTGGGGTTTTGATCCATTGCCATGTTGCCATACTGCCCATAGGATTTTTGTTGGGGGATAGCCAGAGGACCCCCCCTAGTATAGTGGATCTGCCACATTACTTTTCTATCTTGTTTGTGGATTTACTAAACTATCAAAAACCCAACTATGACATGTATTACACACATATTTGTTGGGGAGGGGTATCCCACATATAGTGATAAATTACTGACTACAAGGTGAGGCCCCTAAATAGCTAAGTTTACGCACATAACATTGTTAATTGTTGGGTTGATGAAGGGGATGTGATATAATTGTAGTATTCATGGGGATTATAAATCAACAAACACCACTGGGGGCCCCCACCTCTTAACGTAACTATAGATATATCATGATATATCCCTATAAACCCCAGTTATTGTAGTGTCAAACGAACTTAGCTATCTTGGGGGTTACCCCACTTTTAAGTGACTGTCCTTATCAGTAGATATACTTTATGGGGTATCCACAGTATCCACCCACCTTGTGGCGGTTAATGACCCTGGTGATACCCTTGTAATCGCAACCACAGCCCCAAACGTTGTGCTAAATTCTTCTATATATATATGTATATATATGTGTGTGTGCCATAAACCCTAGTGAAGTTGGAATTATGTTCACCAACATTACTTAACTTCGCCAAAAAGGCACCACCTTGGAACACCCCGAACATGACGTGACCCCGTGAGCGCAAGAAATTCTTCACCATACGCTTGCGGCAGTTCAACGTAGCCATCTTTGGGGAGTTACCACACATTAACCATGGTTTCTAAAAGGTGGTAGCCCATACTTACAATGTGGGGCCCCCAAGATAGCAAAGTTGGTGAACATAACTCCAATTTCACTATGGTTTATGGTACTTATAACTATACTTACTGGTGTTTATAAACCAACTTATACCTGGGGGGTCCCACATTGTAGCTAACTTGCTTTATAACTCTACTGGTTGGTGGTATACCTAACCCCTCTGAAAAATGATGGAGTTCGTCAGTTGGGGTTACTATTCCCAACTGAATGGAAAAATAGAATTCATGTTCCAAACCACCAATCACTCTAGTAATTTTACTCATTGTAGATATATCTATATATATAGTATTCATGGGGGTTACAAACCAACAGCTCCATCACTGGGGGGGCTCACAAAAAGTACCCTAAACCGCTACAATGTGGGGCCCCCAAGATAGCAAAGTTGGCCACATAACTCCAATTTCACTATGGTTTATGGTACTTATAACTATAGTTCATGGGGTTTATAAACCAACGTTCACATAACTGGTAGATATACCTATAGTCAATAACTATAGGACTTATGGTATATATATATATATATATGTAGCATTCATCACGTTTGGGGGCCCCACATTGTAAAAATCCATGGTTTCCCCATGTGGAAACAAAATTTCTCTCGCCTCATCAGCCGGTTCCATTCTTCTGCACTGCGCGATCCGACCTAATCGCGCGAGCAGGCGCTCCGTTTTTCTCGGAAAAACGCAGGGAATCGCCACTTCTTGGTTGATCGAAAACAATGGGTGACGGTAAACATACAAAAATTATGGAAAACCATCATTTTTAGTGGGTAAATCCACTATTTCAATGGCCATTTTCAATAGCAAACTGTTTGACATAACCAGAGGGTAATTTTCTGGTATTTCATCAACGGAGATTTAAAGGATCCTAAAATGGAGGTACTGTACCATATTTTTGGCCATATTTTCTGGGGATATTCCCTGAAATTTAGGCCTTATATATGATAGGTACCTCCGATCAATCGGTTCCTGAGTCATGGCCATTGAGTTCATACTATTCCTATAGTTGGATAAAAAGCTAAGTTTAAACTATACTTGGGGGTTATGGTGACTTTTTCTATACTTGGTGACTTGGGGGTTATGGTAGGCCCCCAAACGTTCCAAATTGATTTATCAACCCTATTGACTATAGCAAAAAGTATGATAAACCATAGTTATTGGAGTTATAAGGACAACTTGGGGATAGATGTATTCATTGCTAATCTTCGACACAGCATATAACTGGACAACTATGTAAACAATTGTAAGTTATGAAATTGGACATCTATAATACCTCTGAAAAATAGTACATCCCCCAATATGTGCCACAAAACGACTACATTGTCTAGTGATGAGGACAAAGTGTCTACAAAAAAAACATCGAGAATACCAGGGATTGCAACCAAAGATAAGGTCTGACAATCAACCAAAGACATGGTACAATGTGGGGCCTCCTAGTTATAAATTGGTTTATAAAGCCCATGAATACTATAGTTATTTGCGTATCATAAACCATAGTTATTGGAGTTATGTTCACCAACTTAGCTATCGTAAACGGGGCCCCACTTTGTATGGATAAAGCATCTCTTCTTGCGGGTCAAGGCTGGACCGGGACGAACATCCCGCGTGGTGTCCAGTGAATTTGTTTATAAACCCAGCCAACTATTATCAATGAATATCAACTAAAAATGAACAATTGAACAAGTGAACGAAAGAACAAGTGAACAAGTCAACAAGTGAACAAGTCAACAAGTGAACAAGTTAACAAGTGAACAAGTCAACAAGTGAACAATATCACTGATCTATGTATTCCCCACATGAACCCCATTAAATAATGTGTAGCTATTTATGGAAAACATATATGATCTATATATTATACAATATAAAAATGATATATCATCAAATATTAAATATCAAATGTCACACTATGGAATACATATACGGTAACTACATTTAAATATACGGACTTTTAAATATACGAACAAGTATTTTAGACTACCTCCATCAAGGTTTTCCTTGGCCCGCCCGGCCATTTAAACATACGGAATCCAATTCATTTAAACGTACCGTATCTACATTTAAATGTACGAACTGGTATTTCATACTCCGTCCGGGGCCTCGCTGTCTGGCCCGCCCTCCACATATTTAAATGTCGTTACCGTATAATCTACACTAGTACTACCTTCTAATTTCTCTTTCATACCCAAGAAATCCAAGCATATGGAACCTGACAAGACTTCCAAGTTCCAGATTTTCTGGCGGTCAAAACCTGATCCCCCAGTGCCCAGCGACGCGTTTGCTTCCGAAGAAAAACTCGACGCCTGCGCCAGAAGGGCCGAAGGTGGACAGAGGCGAGTAGGGACGAAGGCCGTCAGTCAAGGGATGCCTCGGTCGCAGGTTGGCTGCCCAGAAACGTAAACAAACGTATACAGTGCCCTATACTTAGATAAGTTGGTCTATACCTGACATAACTAGGAATTTGTGGATGTTTGTGGATTTTGTGGTATATATATATGTGTATATCTGTAGTTGATCTATCATTAATCAGTCAATCTATATTCAATCTATTTATCTATATATATATATATAACATAGACCCGGGCAAGCCGGCGGCGGAAGTTTCCCAAACATAAATGACCTATAGTTCAAAGACACCCTGTCCCGACCGTGTCCTTCCCTCGACAACCGTTTGATTTTTTCAGCGAGAGACGAAGCAAAGTCTTCACACTCCACACTCCACACTTCACACTGCACTCTTCGCACTCCAAACTTCAAACTTCACACTCCACACTTCACACTTCTCACTTCTCACTGCTTCCTTCACACTCCAAACCTCACACTTCACACTTCACACTTCACACTGCGCTCTTCGCACTCCAAACTGAAACTTCACACTCCAACACTTCACACTCCACACTTCACACTTCACACTTCTCACTTCTGACTGCTTCCTTCACACTCCAAACCTCACACTTCACACTTCACACTTCACACTGCGCTCTTCGCACTCCAAACTGAAACTTCACACTCCACACTTCACACATCTCACTTCCCACTGCTTCCTTCACACTGCACACTTCACACTGCACTCTTCACGCCCCACACTTCACACTGCTCTAAACCTACGTGCAACAAAAAAACACTAGCGCCAAAATGGAGAAAATCTACTAACAAATCCATTTCGCAGCCTTCATGCAGCCAGTCCAAGACGATTTACGAGATCCAGCTGCAAAAGACATTAAGCATGCAGCCAAAGCAAGAAGCAACCTTGACGCAGCCATTCCAATGCGATCTGCGGAGACTTCTCGACGCCAAAGCGAAAAAAAGACGATTTTGAAGCACTTTTTAAAAGGATTTTTAGAAGGAAAATCATTAGCGCCAAAATGGAGAAAATCTGCTGACAAATCACTGTGGCAGCCTTCATGCAGCCACTCCAATACGATTTACGAAGTCCAGCTGCAAAAGACAATAGTAGTACGAATGCAGCCACAGCACGAAGCAACCTTGACGCAGCCATTACAATGCGATCTGCAGAGACTGAGTTGCAAAACACAATTGAACTACGCGCAACGGCGTCGGAAATTGTAGCTCCAAAACCGGATCTCGACGCCAGAGCGAAAAAAAGACGATTTTGAAGCACTTTTTAAAAGGATTTTTAGAAGGAAAATCATTAGCCCCAAAATGGAGAAAATCTGCTGACAAATCACTGTCGCAGCCTTCATGCAGCCACTCCAATACGATTTACGAAGTCCAGCTGCAAAAGACAATAGTATTACCAATGCAGCCACAGCACGAAGCAACCTTGACGCAGCCATTTACACTGCGGGAACGATCCTACAGTTGCAAATCACAATGGAATTACATCGGCAACTCATCCACCACCCATTTACATTGCGGGAACGATCCTACAGTTGCAAATCACAATGGAATTCTGTCGACCGCACATGCACGAAAAACACTTGAAACCCCATTTACAATGCGGAACCGATCCGACCATGGTCCGAGAATGATCCGACCATGGTCCGAGAATGATCCGACCACACACGAGACCGTCTCGCACCCGTCGCACCGCAGAGGTAGATCATCGACGTTCGGGGACGCACTTTGTCTGGAAAAACATACGGTTTCGTGCATCTGCTATCTCTCAAAAACGCATTTCGTGCGAGACTTCCTTCAAAACTCCATCGGCAACTCCTCCACCAGGACCACTTGCAATCCCATTTACAGTGAGGGAACAATTTCTTTGCTAACTCTTTCTGTGACTAACTCTTTCCCTCACTAACTCTTTCTTTGACTAACTCTTTCCCTGACTAACTGTTTCTTTGCTAACTCTTTCTTTCACTACCTCATATATCCTGACTAACTCTTTCTTTGACTAACTCTTTCCCTCACTAACTCTTTCTTTGACGAACTCTTTCCCTCACTGACTCTTTCTTTGACTAACTCTTTCCCTGACTAACTCTTTCTTTGACTAACTCGTTCCCTGACTAACTGTTTCTTTGACTAACTCTTTCTTTGACTAACTCTTTCCCTGACGAACTCTTTCTTTGCTAACTCTTTCTGTGACTAACTCTTTCCCTCACTAACTCTTTCTTTGACTAACTCTTTCCCTGACTAACTGTTTCTTTGCTAACTCTTTCTTTGACTAACTCTTTCTTTGACTAACTCTTTCCCTCACTAACTGTTTCTTTGCTAACTCTTTCTTTGACTAACTCTTTCCCTCACTATCTCTTTCTTATGTTAACTCTTTCCCTCACTAACTCTTTCTTTGACTAACTCTTTCCCTGACTAACTCTTTCCCTCACTAACTCTTTCTTTGACTAACTCTTTCCCTGACTAACTCTTTCTTTGACTAACTCTTTCCCTGACTAACTGTTTCTTTGGCTAACTCTTTCTTTGACTAACTCTTTCCCTGACGAACTCTTTCTTTGCTATTCCCTCACTAACTCTTTCTTTGACTAACTCTTTCCCTGACTAACTGTTTCTTTGCTAACTCTTTCTTTGACTAACTCTTTCCCTCACTAACTCTTTCTTTGACTAACTCTTTCCCTGACTAACTGTTTCTTTGCTAACTCTTTTTTTGACTAACTCTTTCCCTCACTAACTCTTTCTTTGACTAACTCTTTCCCTGACTAACTGTTTCTTTGACTAACTCTTTCTTTGACTAACTCTTTCCCTGACGAACTCTTTCTTTGCTAACTCTTTCTGTGACTAACTCTTTCCCTCACTAACTCGTTCTTTGCTAACTCTTTCTTTGACTAACTCTTTCCCTGACATTCTAAAAGTCCGTAACACGGAAGTTTCTCCCCCTAAACTTCCTTTGATAATAGTTAATGTAGCTAGGATGGTTTATGTATAGTTCTTCTCGGATTTATAAACTATTATATGATAATATAGATGATTTTCCCAGCTATAAACCTCCATATATATATATATATAATGGATTTTCCAGTTCGCTATGTTAGTCATAACATAACTTTTACCTCACCGGGCCTCCTTTGTATCACCATCTCCGTGTAAAACCCTAGTCATCCCAAAAGTGGTTGGTGCTGGCTGTGCCCATCTTGAAAAATGATGGAGTTCGTCAATGGGGTTGGGATGACATCCCATATAATATATATATATGAAATGAAAAATAAAACAATCAAACATGAAATGGAAAATAAAAAAAAGGTCCAAACCACCAACCAGAAAAGAAATAGAACAAGGATGATTAAGGAATAGAGATAGGAATAGCATGGAATAGCCATCTAACTCTGTTTAATCCCTTATTCTAAATTCCATTTTTATTTTTAGGAAGATTATGGTTTTTATCTTTTTGGGGGAAAACAGGGTTACCCTCTGGTAATTTAACATAACTATGGAAAATCACCATGCTATTCATGGGAAAATCCACTATTTCTATTGCCATTCTCAATAGCTATTTTGACATAACCAGAGGGTAAATGGCTGCACAGAAAAACCAAAATCTAATTGTTACCAGTCCCTCTCTGCGACACAGCTGAAGGAGGTGCCCCGCAACGCGGCATAGCGGGTGAACATCACCAGGTGAATTCGATTGTTTATTGGTTTAGGGGATACAGATACTTGCAGGATATGGATAACATACCCTCCAAACTTATTGGTGAACTTAACTTATTGTTTATGATGTTTATGGATATCTAGAGAATTCTATAGATATCTATACTTCATGGGCTTTACAACCAACTTATAACAGGGTGAGAGTGTCAAGTCAGGCAATCCCATCTAAAGTCAAACATCCCCATGGGCACGGCTCAAACACGTTTCGCATGGACCTTTTCGGAATTGAATTGACCGGATTCTGTGCGCACACCGGTGTAAAACTCAACTTGTTCATGAATTTAGGGAAAACTAAACAAGAAAATACACATTGCCAATCTTAGATACCCTGCAACAATTCAATTCTTTGCTGGTTAGTAGATATTCCTTCCCATTGATACCAAAAGACTAAAGGATTAAAGTACCCATCTAAGATTGACCTGTTACAATGGCACAACGTGTGCAACATATGGTACATATCTCTACAGCTCAACCTCGGAACCAATGGCACAACGCATGTGATATGTGGTTTTGTATCTAATGCTTTTTGTTATCTAGTAGGTAGATGTATCTGGAGCTCATGGGCTTTATAAACAAACTTATAACTGGGCCACCGGTTATGATGTGATTGGTTCAAACATACGAATCCCCCCTTCCCTGGATCAGGTGAAATCTACGCATGGTTTGGAGTCCCAGTCAAGCGATGATATAACCCCTCGTAGGGCAATTCTACAAGGAAAGTGGTGATTATATGTTAAAAACATGATTTGGAGGTTTCCTAAAATTGTACCCCAATAGCTGGATGGTGTACAATGGGAAATCCTACTAAAATGGATTATTTTTTTCGGGTACCCCTATGTCAGGAAACCACCATTTAGGAATACCCTATTTTCAGACAAACCAATCTGATAGGGGTAGGGGATTGATATTCCATTTTCAAGCCAGACTACCCCCTGTTGTGTCCACCGTCAACGACGCCTCTCCTTTGGGTTTCATGCTGTTTCGCTATTCAACCTTAAGTTACTTTCAAAGTTTCCCATCCTAAATGATACAAAAAACCATAGGGTACCATGAAAGTACCATGTCAATTCTGTGGGTTATGGAGAGAATAGGTGTAGCTTCAACACTTGTTGTCTTGGCACTGCCCCACTGCACGAATGACATGCTCTTCACCGAGGTACAGAGGAATTTTCATCGCATCCTCAGGCTTCAAAGGGAGACACAGCGCATGCTGACCCCGTGATCCCGGGTGAACTCTACGTCAAGTCAGCGACCGGGTGCCCTATCCTTATGTTAGTTAAATCCCCATAGAAATTACCCTCTGGTAATTTGTTACATAGCTATTGAACATGGCCATTTATAGTGAGTTTTCCCATTAAAAATGTTGATTTTCCATAGTTATGCTAGTTTACCAGAGGGTAAAAGTCAACAAAAATACCAATCATCATTTCAAGTGAAACGCTACTGATCATCTACGAGGGGGTTTCATCGCTTGCACACGCGTCTCTACTCAGGATTTATCAAATCCTGTTGTACCACGGGGCCTATCATTCACAACATCAATTGGGGGTAGAGAAGTATTTCACTGGGCATGGGCGGACAATCAAAGTTGGTGAAATAATGCGAACTACTAAATAAACCTGTCACTTGAGATATCATACGTCACTACTAATGTATCATCAGAATTCTCATCGTCAATAGCTTGTCAGCTTCCAAGATCTGCAGCTCCTCGAAGCTAAAAACTTTCGACCTCCTGAGGTCCAATCGCTGCAGTGAGAGCAACACCGCGCCCATGTCGGATCTCCAGAAAATTCACACAACAAATGGAGTTTCCAGCGCAATGTCCATTCCGTTGACCCTGAAACAAATCGGTATGTGAACTCATTGACTTTTACCATTGTTTTATAAACACAAACTGAGTGATTCATCCTTGATGGTAACACCCATCAGCTATGCAAAATACGGGATTTCGCCGTTTGAGCTGGATTGAAATCAACCAAACCCATTGATCAACCGCACACAGATTTACGCACTTATAATTCATGGTGGTTTTGTTGTTTACATACCTGCATCCTCATGACCTAGTTTGTGATCCGGTGATGCTGCCATGCTCCTTTATTTCTCTCGCTCCCTCTCTCTCGCTGTCTCTATATATAATTACATGTGTATATATATACATATGTTGAATTGACAACATCTTGTATATAGGCGGTCTGACCAAAAACTTGATGGTTGACCAACAATTAGCGTTGCTGTCTACTAATTATACCCAGTACTTGTTGTTTTTGGGGGTGGGGAAGTCACTCCATGTTCATGTGTTAAATATCCATCTTTGTTGGCAACATTTCCCTATGATATATACAATTTACCTGATAGTTTTGTCCTATCATATCACTACTGAAGTTGCTAAAAGCATACTTCAACTTCCATCTTTCTGTAGGTAAGCCTTGGTCGAGTAGGTTGGTGGTCTATACTTTTTCTATACATGGGGATATATGCGTCACTCATCACACTCATCGTTTCTGTTTCTCATTACATACATACTCATAAACGATACACAATAATATGTATAGTAACAATGTGTATATATGTATATATATGTATGCAAACAAAGAGACACGCACACGCATACATACACGTAGATATATAATATACTATATATATATACATACATAAATAACATAAAATAACATAACATACCATAACATAACATAAGATAAGACAACATTACATTACATACCCTATGAAAATAATAAACAACAAACAAACAACAACTGCCTATGCAAAACTTTTTTTTATGGGGCCCGGAAAACACGAAAACTATCTATATATATATGCATTTTTTGAAAGCTATATTTCAGCAGAACTAAGTAGTGGGTCGACATGCAAGTGGTCTGGATTGGATTTTTCAAGAGAAGAAAAATGCAGGAAATGAAAAGACATGAACAAAATTAAAATAAATGAGAACAATGAACAAAAAGTGAAAAGAAATGAACAGAAATGACAAGAACTGAGGAAACAATGAACAAACAGTGAAAAGAAATAAACAAACATGAAAAAACATGCATGTGTTTTTGTTTAATCTTTTGGGTTTCGCGACAGTGGGATAACCTGCATTTGGGAGATCAAAAAATGTTTTTGTTTTTCTCTGTTTTGCTAGTTTTTGCCAAACAATGCAAACAATGACCATATTTGAGAAACGATGTTTTTTCTCAAACCAAAGGAAAATGCAAACGTGCTGCAAGGGTGCTTCTGGTGCGATGTGCTGTGGAAAAAATGAGATTGTTTTCGCGTGGCCAGCGTTGTCAAAACAAAGTCAGTTTTGATAGGTCACAGCCTGGACAGATTAAATAGAATAAAGTAAACTCATTTGAGTTCTATCTATGTATTTGTTTTGTATATGTATTTATTCTTATTTCTCTTTATTTCGTGTTATTTCTCTTTATTTCTTTTTTCTGGTGAATAAGTGTGTTTTTATTATTTTAAATGTGTTGTTGATTTTTGGACCAATCAAACCATTTTGAAATTAACCTACTGCAACCTGCACCACCACTTAGTCTCGCTGAATATTAAAAAAATGATAAAAAATGTACCTACACATCAACCACCTAAGAAACAAGTTCAGTTGCAGAGTATGTTTCTTAATAATCTCATCCCCTACTGTATCATACAACCCAATCAATGGCTCCAGTCATATGTTTGTTTCATCCCCTACATCCACCATCAGGATTTGGATTTCTGATTGGGAGATGGGATTAAACTTCCAATATCTCATTATATCCCAATAAAACCCCCTAAGTCCTTATAACTTATAAATCATCATCATAAAATCCCATGAGCAATCACTGTTTAATCACCAATAAATGCCATTAAATCACCATGCTTCAAACAATAAATCATCATTAATTTCAACCCTGGATTAATAAAACCCTAGGTTGTTTAATTGGGGAGATACCATTTAAGTATCAGATTATGACTATTTGGGGAGTACCCCCCCAAATTAATAAACCATGGTTTACTAATCCCGGGTTGACATTAAATCATTTTTTTATGGAAGGATTCCAAAGTCCTCATAGATTCATTCCACGCTCCACGTCTGCCCAGCATCGGACGGAATTTCCGGGCGCCCCAGGAAGAGTTTGCCACCACCGCGAGGACTATCGTCGAAGCAGAGGGTAAAGGCGCGCCGAATCTTTCCTCAGCGAACTTTTTTTGAATTCAGCAGGCAAAAATGATGAAAAAAGATCGCGATGCGATGCGATTATATCATTATGTCAGTGAGGAAAAAAAACACGCGCTTAGGAAGCTGAAAGAACCTCACTTATCAGATGTGATAAAAGGTATTGTATGCCTAGACACCTAATTATTAAAGTGAACTAAAACAACTTAACTATAATCTTCGGGGTTACCCGGTTACCCCAAAGCCCAAACATGGTGCCAAATTGCTGTCAAAATCATGGCTGAATCTTAGATACTGTATCTGCCAAAATAGCTGGTTAGTACATGTTACCACTGATAGTAAAAGATTTAAGTACTAAAGTATCTTATCAAGCTTGACCCAAATACGGAAAACTTCTATGAATGACAGGTGAATTATATTTGGGGATTTAATAGTAGGATAATTTTATGTGAATCAATGTTAGATATATATCACTTATTAAAAAACTGTTTTAGACATGGGAGTGCAAAGGGGACCTATGATTATCTATGTAGCTGAGAAAATCATCGAACTCAATGAGGGACTAAAAACAGGAAGCCAGGAAGCCATGATGACACCGGAGGGTATCTAAAACATAGCGAAACGTTAGTTGCTTAGTAACTACAGATTCTCCCTATGTTCACATTCTATACAATGTGGGGCCCAGTTATAAGTTGGTGAACATAATTCCAATAACTATAATATGTATCTTAAACCATAATTATTGGAGTTATGTTCTTCAACGTAGCTATCTAGGAGTCTAGGGGGGCCCATCCTGTTCACATATTCTATAAGTGTGATTCCATGGCTTGAATCCGATAATTTTCACACATCCCACGTCTTTTCCCATGGAGAAACAAAGGGGGAATTAGCTCGGGATGATCTCCTCCCCTGAAAAAATGTCTCGGAAACTGCCAAAAATCTCCTTGAACAAAGCCAGGATGTGAGCACATCCCCAATGGATTCCTCCTCACCGACTCAGCAGCGCATATGAAGTCAAACATGACCGCAATAGGTCTCACAAGCCTTCCATCGATATGCTCAAGCTTCATTGCATCCGCCACACCCGGGTCGATGTGCAAATCCATTCTCCCAGTGCGACCAGTCCTCTGTCTTCCGTGTATCTGCTTCAGGGACTGGAAGCACGTGACCACATCGCACCTCTGCTCCGGAATGAACAAAGAGGCACTCTTCAGACCTGAATCTGCTCCCATCAATCAAGCAGTTCTCAGGTGTAATGGAAGAATCCCCAATCCCAGAGATAATCACAATCTTGAAGCAGGAAGCAGGAGGAATCGGCCATGATTTTTTGGTGCGTAAACCATCTTAAACCACCATGAAAAAGAACTTAATGGAGTTCGATGGATTCCGTCACCAAGAATCCTTCCCGTGCCATGGTGGAAAGCAAGTCATCGTAGTATGAAGGGTTGCATCCGCCTCTGGATTTGGCGCCAGCTCACTGCAACGGCAAAAATATATGGTATGTTGACCTGGCATAAAACGATTTGAATTGATTTGCTTGAACAAAAAAATGTAATGGGAATATGGGATTTCAAATGATTTAATGAATATGACCTAATTCTGAAGTATCATGATGGTTAAATTGGGTGTGTTTGTGCGTCTAAAAATGAGATTACCAACCAGAAATAACCTGGTTGGTGGTTGAGCCACCCCTCTGAAAAAAATTAGTCAGTTGGGATTATGAAATGCCCAACTCGATGGAAAAATAATCCATTCATGTTCCAGAGCAGCAACCAGTAACAATTTCAATATAGAAAATTTTGCACCAGTGGATGGCACGGGATGCCAATGATCATCCGTGATGTCGACAAACTCCACTGCTGAGCTGCTGAACCAGGGTTTCTACAATGTGGGCCCCCCCCAGTGATGTTTGTTGGTTTATAAATCCAAGTAAGTATATAGTTAGAAGATGTTATAAGTACCATAAACCATAGTTATTGGAATATTAAACAAACTTAGCTATCTAGGGGGCCTCACATTTAGGCGAGGTATTCAATTTTCCGGTGATGGGATTGCTATGTAGTTGACGCAATATATCATGATCTTTTCAATGTAATAACGGCCAATCAGAAACTTGGGGACATCTATGACATTGGACCCGAAAACCTCTCGCCGCAATACTCGACGTGGGGTGTCTGGCACCCTTTTTTTTGCCGGATCAAGGACCAAACCATGGGAAATCATCCGACGATGCGGCTTAATCATGGTTTATCGCAGTGAAGCAACCCAAACGGTTTCAATTTGCACTCCCAAACAAGAACCGCTTTAGAGACCTTGCACTTTCTTCGAAGTGTTAGCCGCGTGAATCTGGCAAAAAACATGGAGCATCAAAGTATCCATCCAAGCTTGACCAATGTGATTAACTCACGTTAACTCAACAAGGCGACCATGTGGGCTATGGATCTTACCAACCATCTATGGTAATATAAGGGATGGTTTATATTTTGGGTTTTACCATTTTTTTTGATTTATAAGCAAACCATGATTTTTTGTTCAACCTACTTGGATGGGCCATTTTTGTTCAACCTACTTAGAGGGTTATGTCCCCAGTTACTAACCAGTAATCGTTAATCCCATGGCCCATCTAAGTACCCCAAAACAGGGCCTACTGTAACTTGCGCACTTGCGCCCAGCGGGCGCCTGTGAAGCAACCCGGCAGCAGGCCCAGCACGGCCGCATCTGCTTCCACCTGGAAAGCCCAGGTCAACCAGCAACGTTGCGATCCTAAGGCCTAAGACCCCACGTTGCGATTCTATACGCTTAGCTCTCCGTTCTGAATGATCTGAATGATAGATCTAGGTATAGTATGGTATGGTATGAGTTGGTTTACGTCACTATAACTAAAGTTTATGATGGGTATAGGCTATAGGTCTATTTTCGGATATTTTCGGCTAGTTGCGATCATTTACAAAACAAATGCTCCATTTGTTAGATACTAATTTATGATGGATCCAGTCATCTCTTGTCAGGGGGCTATAAACTAGTTTCTGAGGTACAGTAAATTGGTGAAAAAAGCTGGTGCCCCCAAACGATAGCTAAGTCAGTTTATAATTCCAATTTCACGATGGTTTATGGTAGATATAACTATGCTTACTGGTGTTTATAAACCAACGTTCACATCACTGGGCCCCGGTCAATAGCCAAGTTCGTTTTGAATTCCAATTCCACTATGGTTTATGATACGCAAATTACTACAACTAATAGGGCTTATAAACAAACTTAGAATGTTTGGGGGCCCCACATTGTAGTTATATCCTCCTCAACCCAAACGTGAAGGAGTGTCCCGAGGCTCCAGGCAAATAACCTGGTAATGTTCTGGTGACTGTGCATCCATTGGAATCGAATGTTCTGAACCCTAGTTTTTTTCCGTAGTGGGCAACCATAAGACCTGCATTTCTTTGATGTGATATTAGAAAACCCATTTTTGTAATATGAACTGGGTCTGTATGACACCTTCATGATCGTCTTGAGTTTTCTGAGAAAAGGAATATAGTTGATCATTTGTAAACAAATATGTATACACTTATTGATGTATCTATATATATATGACATATTTCATATATAAGAAAACTATTAAACAGTATATATGTAAACATCAAATTATATAAATAATATCATATTATATTAGATTAAATAAAATTAGTAAATATTATTTTATATTTGATTATTTGATATGTTCTAATTATATCAATATATATATATACACTATATTATACTATTATTATTTGTATTATGATTATTGTTATTGTTATTTTTTATGTTGTTGATCTTGTTGTTTCGATGTTGTTACTGTTATTATTTTCTATAATTATATCGCAAAATAACTCCATCATATCCCATGAAATGACCAAAACTGTTCATTAAAAACCATCAATGATTGGTTCTCAATAATTGGTGATCTGATAGTTACCAATTGGTTCTCAAAACCATCAGAAACTTCTCAAACTGCTGATTAATTACCAATGAGAAGCTGATTGATAGAAGTTCCCAGACAGCGCGTTGCCCATCAAATTCAAGCCGACTTTGGCGGTGATGTTCAATCCACCGACCTCGGTTTGTACAATGTGGGGCCCCAAAAATAGCTAAGTTGGTTTATAACCAGGTGAATTCTATGGTTTATGGTACGCAATTAACTATGAATAAGAGGGCTTATAAACTAATTTATAACGTCCGGGGGCCCACATTGTAACACATGGCATTGCAGGGTGACCCGAAACGTACCCATACCATACAAATTCATGGTTTTTCACGGTGTTGCTAACCCTATATTTTTTCTGTGTTTGCGTGCTAGTTGAGCCCCCAACATCAGGGATAGACCTCAGTCAGTCAAATCCCGTTTCGAGTTTCACTATGTGGATGTGTCTGAACAGACCGCTGTACCCATGGCCAGGTACTTGGGAAACTGATGATAAATCATCAAATTGAGGGGTACTCGGCTGCATGGCACGCAGCCAGGGCCAGTGTTCAGCAAGAAACCTGAACGGCATCATGGCCAAGGAAGCCAATGAAATAGCTCGCAAGGCTTTCAGAACCATAGCCCTGCCAGTAGAGACTGTTGTCGAGCAAAGTGAGTCTACCTGAGCGGCAAGGAATGATGAATCGCATGAATCATGGAGACAATAAGCTTAGCTATATATCAATGATGTTTAAAAGATAAATAATGAAATATACCATGTATATATGCATATGTATATATATATGTATGTGTGTATATATATAACATACGGATGTATGTATATGTGTATATGTATATGTATATGTATTTGTATATGTATATGTATATGTATATGTATATGTGTATATATATGTATATATATATATACTGTACATATATATATAGTGTATATGTGAATAGTGAGTGATTTCATATTAAAAAAGAAAACAAATAACATCTGCATATATATATATCATACAGTTCATGCCTAGATATACGTAACCTTAGATCTCCTCCCGTTTTAAGAGGCTACAAACTTATCAACCCAAGCAACTTCGAACCGCTAGAGTTGAAACCACATCTACCCTCTGCCCTCCGTCATCATGGCCATGGCAAACTTGGAAATCCCCGAACAAAAAATGGAGGATTCATGGGGAACTCAATGGGAAAACCCTAGAAGATGGGAAAATGGAAGTTTTAACGGGAAAAAATGTAGGATCCTAACCAACTCAAGTGAGGTTTTTCCAGCCATGTTTGATGACATCGGATACTGTATCCTACTTAAATATGGTCTTCACTCTTATGGTGCACGTGTATATAGTTAATGGGCTCTATAAACCAACAAACATAACTTATAGGCACCACTTTCTATCTAAATCTCCTTTGAATATAGGGTTTATAAACCAATTTGGAACTAGGGGGCCACATGGGACACCCCAGAAGTTGGTGCTGGACGGTTGGACCGCCCGTTGATCCATGGTGCTTTGCAACTTCGACAGAACACCGTCGCTACGTCTCCTCTCTCTCAACCTGGCGGCTCGTTGGCATGTGGTTAAACAATGTTAAACATATACCTGGAACCCAAGTGACCCAGATGTTTAAACAAAGTGAAAAAACCGTATAAATCACCATTAAATCACATTCAAAAACCATTCAATCCCATGAAGCCCCACAGTAAATCATCATTAAATCATGATTTTCAAGACTTGAGCCATTCCTTTCGCCCAGCCACTGCAACTGCGCCGTAGTTTCCTCGTCGCATTGGTCGCATCGTGTCGAAAACGCCACGGACGCGGGGACCACGAGGAAACGAAGCAGCGAGGATGTCATGCCGCCTGTAGGATGAAGGACATATTTGCTGTCTATCGCATAGGATCCATGTATGGTATATATGCTACAAGGTGGTGCCCCCCAGTGATGTTTGTTGGTTTATAAACCCCATGAATACTATAGTTATAAGTACCATAAACCATAGTTATTGGAGTTATAAACCAACTTAGCTATCTATGGGGCACTACATTGTAACATTTGGGGTATATGGATGGTAAATGTTACCATTGTACAGGATGGGGCCCTCCAGTGATGTTAGTTTGTGAAAATAACCTCATCTAAATATAGTTATTTGCGTATCATACACTATGGTTATTGTAGTTATGAACCAACTTAGCGAACTATGGGGCCCCATCCTGTAGTATATAGCAAAAAAACACATTACAAATTCTATATATATATATATATGTTCTTGTGTTTTCATTATTGTTTTAACTTCTCTATGTTGTCTACTTGTCTATGGAAGATGATATTGTATGTTCAAACCCATATTTTCATAGAATCTACCAGAAGGGATGTGGAATCTTTTGTGGGATCCCCCAAGCTTTTGGTGGAGGGCGGCCGCGCTCCCACACATTGGGTTAGTTCGGTTACACCCATCTGCGTATCCCAGCACTACCGTACATTTTGAATTCAATAAAAATCGGGTTGGTGGTTTCAACCCCTCCGAAGAATATGAAAGTCAGTTGGGATGATGACATTTTCCAACTGAATGGAAACACAATCCAAATGTTGCAAACCACCAACCAGAAAATGACAGTTTCAGCCCATCAAAGCCCCTCAGTTTTACGACAATCTTTTTATACCCCGAGTTTTGGAGCTGGCTAGGTTCCTACATGCCCATTCAAAACTACAAGGTGGTGCCTTCCCAGTTGTAAACTAGTTATAGGCCCATGAAAACCAGTTCGATATATCACCAACAAAAACCAGAGTGAAATTGGAGTGATTAGTGGCCCCCAACTGAACGCTATCGACGGCACCACATTGGAAGTGCACCCAGTTATATATGGTGATGTTATAAGTTGATGGTTATAGACCTGTATAAACCCCCATAATTTGGGATAAAAATAAATCTATAGTAAAAAACCATGTCAATCCATTATATATCCCAAAAAACTATAACCCATTGGGATATTAACACAAGGTGGTGCCCCCCAAGTTATAAGTTGGTTTATAATCCCAGTAACTATAGATAGTTCTACCATAAGTCCTAGTTGTTAGAGTTATGTTCACCAACTTAGCTATCTTGGGGGCACCACCTTGCAATCAATGAATCCATTGGGATTTATTGGGCTTTACGAAACTCTCCAAACTGTCACCGTCGTTGACCGCTTGACTTTCGAACACTATTTAAGGTGCACTCCCAGGTCAAAAAAAATGCCATAGACATGCCATAAACATCCATTAAATGGTTGTTCATGGATAGCAATACCATAGAAATACCATAAGATACCATAGAAATACCATTAAAATCACAATCTTTGTGAGTTGATGGTGGTATTCCTATGGTGATTGTTTTTGGTTGTTAATGGATAGTAATAGTTGAGCATTGTTATTTGGTTCAATGGGATGGTGGTTGATAATAGTTCATCTCCCACTCGCATTCAATAACAAAGTGCTGCCCCCCAGTTATAAAGTGGTTTATAAGCCTTGTTAACTATAGTGATATAGAATGATATATATATATATTATTAAAGGATATATATATATATCTCTACTACAAACCATAGTTCAACCACTTATAAGGCAACTGAAAGCTATCTCTTGGGGCCCCCATATTTTTAAGCAGCAAGATAAATGAGATTTGATCATCCTCACATGTCATTTCTATAATATCCCCCATTGGTATAGTATCACCATGAATGCACGTAGCATCATTGGTCCACCAACAACACTTCCACAATATCAGGAAGATCTCCATCCTGTTTCCCCCGTTCCATTTAACCGTCCTCGATGGGCAGCCGGTGCCGAGTTTTGCCGGCAGTTAGATTAAATGATATGCTGCGGTCAGGAGCTTTGGAAACAACTTAGGTGTACCAAAACACTCAGCGTGCACCCCAGAAAAAAAAAGATAAATGCACTAAACTTATGATCAACACATATTTTATCATGAGTGAATGGAGGGTTTGGACGCAACTTGCAGTGGATTGAAGGGAACAAAATCAATGTTAAGCATAGTTTTTACACATTTCAATAGCGAGGTGCTCTCTTTCGATGTCGATCTTCCAATTCTTGGAGATCTACTGTCATTTTACATGCAGAGAAACCCCTCCAGTAATCCATACTTGCAGTTGAACATGACCAAGTTGCCCCAAGAATATACTAAAATTATGCAATGTTCGATGGATGTTTTAGTGCTAACACCAACCAGCAACATTTTTTTCATGACAATAGAGAGAGGACACAGCATGCTTTCAATGTGGGGCCCAGTTGTAATTTGGTTTCTAATCCCCATTAAATTCCATTAACTATAGATATATCATGATATATCTACAATAAATACTGGTTGGTGGTATACCTACCCCTCTGGAAAATATGAGTTCGTCAATTGGGATGATGGCATTCCCAATCTGATGGGAAAAATCATCCACATGTTCCAAACTACCAACCAGAATAAGACTTACTAGAGTTATAAAGCGAGTTAGCTAAGCATGGGGCACCACAAACCGTTGTTCCCTGACAAAACGCTTCATGGGACGACCCATGACGAAATGGCTCTGAACCCATGGATATGTCGTGCAACTGGAGATTGCTCATGGGCTGCCCACAAAATACATGAGATCAGATCGCTGTGCAAATATTAGATTATTTGATCCACATTTCATGTACTGGATCAAATATTTGATGCACTAGTACCTAGTTTAATAATCTGTGCACCAAAACACTTGCAGCTTGGACATTTTCTCAAAAAAAAACGTATGTAAATCTCGCGAGTTGTTTGGGATGTTTAGGGTATACCATTTTGTTAAAACCCCGGTTTTATTTAGATACCAAGTTTGTTTGGGTAGAACCCCAAATTTTTGCTGGTTGACATCAATTTTTCAAAACCCATTAAATCCAGTTAAACCACGATTGAACCGCATTAAGCCCCAAATTGTGCTGGTAATATCCGTAACTTTACTGGTTAGCATTCCGCTTTAGTAGGGCACACGTACACACAGTTAAAACCCTTTATCAGTTCTAAATAGCCTATCATGATATATAAAACCGTAGTTACAAGAGTTATTTAGCCCATTTAGAACTCTTTGGGCCACAACTATACATGGTGGTGCCCCCCCCAAGTGATGTGAACGTTGGTTTATAAACCACCAAAAAAATAGTTCGATATATCTATCATAAACCATAGATTTCACCGAGTTATTTGATCAAACATCTGGCGATTCACTGGGGCACCACCTTGTAGGACAGCCACACCAAAACTCGGGCAACCGTGCCCGAAGTTGTAAGGCCATCGCTCTGTGCGGATACACTCCTCAGTTCAACAGGGCCTTCGGGGATGTGCCAAAATCAGGTACCCCCATAGTGGGGATTCCATAAGATGGTTTAGGGGATTATAGATGATTATTGTAACTATCATAGTGTTTGTGTGGATAATTATGAGCATGGCCGCAAATGATTTCGCGATTTGGAACATCAAGGCTTCTAATCTAGCAAACATTTTGATCAATTTTGATAAGTATAATACTTATATACTAGAATTGGATAATTAATACTAGACATGGGAAGTCCATCTGCGGTCCGGCTTTGACTTTTGACCCACCAAACTGCAACGTAACGTGGATTGATATAATGATAAACAAAGGAAAATACTATGGATATGTATATATATATACAAATATTTTGGATTCTTGTGGATATTTACCAACTTAAAATGGGGTCTTCATGTGCCATTGCGGAGGAAAAAAACATGAAAAACATTTTTTGGTGGGTTTACCGCAGGGTATCTTCGGTTTCTGTCACCCGAAATCTCTTCCTCGAAGATGCCATGTTAGTCAAGGTCAAGTCCCGGACTCCACAACGGAAATTTCATCTTTAATCAGTTGAAAACTGTACTCCCAGGAGAATCCGTTCTGTCTTTTTCCAGGTTTGGTAGTACACACCGCAGGACTTTCAAAGTATTACACATTAAGATGCGGACTGGAGTATCTGGTGATATGAATGTCGGTAGTTAGAAACCAACTTGCAACTGGGGGGCCTCACCTTACATGGGTAGTCTGAGTGAGTCTAGGCACAAAACATCCGAAATCATGGCCAAGTAGTGCCAAACAGCCAAACATGCATGTGCCATGACCAAGACATGGTATGTAGGGCCTGATCATCATCATCATCATCATCATCATCATCATCATCATCATCATCATCATCATCATGTGTTCCTTTTCCATCATCAACATGACCCTCTCTCGATATATCTATATATCTATATATCTATAAATATATAACTGATACTGTAAAATATAAATATATATACATCAATGGGGGGATGATAATTCCCTTCTGTGGAAACGATATACATATACTGCTTGGTGGTTGAGCTCGCGGACAGTGTTGGCGCAGTTGTGCATGAAAGTGCTCATTGATCCCACGAAGATGTTGCTCCACATCCATGGACCATGTGGAAACTTCAAACGAGTTGAATGCTCGAAATACTGGGTGGTTCAGCATTGCTGAAATTTCCCCTGAGGAGCTGTCGCGAGCTAGCACCTCAGGTTGCACCCCCTTGGTGGCCTACTACCACCAAGTTTGCCCGAAGGCGGGGTCCCCCCACAGGGACAAGAGCAGACAGAGACGTCTTTCTAGCCGCTTCCGGTATAGCCCTGGCCTTCGGCCATACCAGAGCCACCGATGGCTGAGCCTCCGCCGGTTCGCCAAACCGGCATCGTGTTTTGCCATGTTCTGAATGAAGGTGGCACATACATCGAATCAATTGGGGATTGCTTTCCCCAACAACGACCAGTTCTCAATAAAAAAAGGAATCATGTCGTAACTTTTGTAGCCATATATTATATATTTATACGAAGGAAAACAATGTGTATATATATATATTATTAATGATTATTATATATACATATAATCCCCCTTGGAGTTCAGTGTGTAACCTGGGTACCACCATTCTATAGTGATAAAATTGTTTTTTTTGGGGGGGCCCTTTATAAAATGGGGGTGCCCAGGTAATTAGGGGGGTCTGCGCTGTCTATAAAATGGGGGTACCCAGGTTACTCACTTAACATCACTTAACTGTCTGATGCGGCTGTCTGGGTCCATTTTGACCTTCTATAAAATGAGGATCAGGGTCCCAGGTGTGAAGTGCTGGGGCCAAACTCCGGTCACAAAAGAGAGTTGTTGATTTGGAATTTCTATTTTATAGAGGTGATCAAAGGTGAGAAATCACCAAGCCTGCCGCGCATAAAAACTGCACTTTTTCACAACTGCACTGAATATGTTTAAGATCCATGTGTAAATTAGGGGTGGGCTGCCATTTTATAATGCTAAAATGGTTTGTCAGGGGGGTACTCCCTCTATAAGTAAATAGATAAAACATGATAAAACATATCCTGATAAACCATTCAAGAACCACTCCAAACATTCTGTTTTCCATTTTATAGTGCCTGAAAAAATGGTTTAGCAGGGTACCCGGGTGCGACCATTTTATAGAGGAAATGGCCACCAGGATTGTTTAAGATTGTTTGTATATATTGTTTCAAAAAAACCTCTGATAACCTTTCTATAAAATGGGGAACAGAACGGTTTTGCAAGGGCTTGCCTCTATAAAACAGAAACGCATGGGCACCTGTGATTGGAAAGCTAGGAAGCCCTTCTATAAAATTGGGAGCAGAACGGTTTTGCAAGGGCTTGCCTCTATAAAATGGAAAAAATATGGAAAACACATTGGCACCTGGGAGATCCTGGGATGGGAAAGCTAGAAAGCTGGAAGTTAGGGAAGGCGCTTTACCACACAACCCAAGATATCCATAGAATTCCATAGATATTCTAAGAATTCCGAAGATTCCCCAAACATCCCTAAGCCATCCCAGACCCAAAAGCCCCCTCAAAAAAAACATCAAACATCATCAAAAATATCCAAAGCCTCAACACTTTCCCAGATTCTGGGAAGCCCTCCTCTATAAAATGGGGAACCAGCTCGTATCTTACCACAAAGCACCCATTTTATAGAGGCTCTTGGTGGTAGAGGCCCAAATACCCATTTTATAGAGATAGTATAATATAAATTTGTAACATCATGTAACATATTGTAACATCAATGTTCGTGCTTGTATGTGCTGGTAGTATCTTGTATGTTCTTGTATGTTCTTGTATTATACCCCCCTAAAAGTAGATGGCGCAACTCCAAAACCCAAATACCCATAAGATGGCACCGCGCGGTGAGAAAGAAAACGGCGCTATTTTTTGCTGGAACATAAAACGAGTTCAGCCAATTGAAAAAAATCACCCTACTTTAAAATGAGAAGGTAGATGGCGCAACTCGTTTTGAGCCTATGTTGAGCCCGGAACCGACCCAAAATTCAACCTCAACGGAGCCATGCTTCCGTTGGGGTTGAAATTTTAGGCCCGAAAGCCGCCAACAGAGCCCTCGATTGTATTCAATTGGTTTCTCTTTTTACTTGCCAAATCTTGCCAACATGTTTGATCTTTTTGAACATTTTGGAGCCATGTGGTGCTGCCGGTCTAGCGAGTTGTTCATGTTGACACAATCCAAGCATTAGTCTCTATGAAATGGGGACCAGGGTTAAAAAGAGCCCCCAAAAGTTACCCCAAAAAGTCCCTCTATAAAATGGGGACCTGGGTTGACCTTGCAACATGCCAAAAACACCAAAAAGTGCTTCGTATTTCCCAACATTAAAAAAACACATTTTATCGAGGGATAAAATAATGGGTTATAAGGGTACCCGGGTACCTCTATTTTATAGAGGAAATTGCCAGGGGGATTACATATATATTCATAGGGTCACTCAATTCC